TGTTACACAACATAAAACTTTCAAAGAGCGGTAAAATTTATCCCTATGTTATAGTAAATTGCCACCTGGTGATTTTAAGAAACTCTAGTATAATAACAAAATGTTCTCTAAACAGCGTGTTATCGCAGACTTCGATAATTTTAAAAGTTTTATTCTTTGTTTATCATTAATATTAAGCAAAAATATATATATATATATATATATATATATATATATATATATATATATATATATATATATATATATATATATATTATTCTCACTAGTGTTTTTTATTTTAAAAAATCACTAGTGTTTTTTATTTTAAAAAATCATCAACATTGCACAATTTAAACTCTAGTATTTGTTGGAAGCCTAATATTTTTTGTGGCATAAAGCGACTGTGACAATTATATCAATATATTTGTTGTATGTTTAATGAAAAATATATTTCTGGTAACTGAGAGATATGGCTGACCTGCTTCATTTCTTCATATTCAACTAAGCTTTCTCGTAACACAAAAAATGAACATACGGTTTCTAAGTTCTCGACTCACATTTTGTTATACAAATATATAATTGCCAACATAACAATATCTATCTAGTTGAGTAGGAGAAATGCATCAGTGGCGTAGGAAGGTTTTTAAATGTTTAAAATAACCAACTTAGAAGCAACAAGAATATTCCAAATTTTTTTACACTCATATGTATGACGAAAAAATTCTTTAAAAGAAAAAATAACTGTGATAGTAGAATGGGAATAAGAAATCCCTAAAATCGTAGCCCCCTCCCCCCCAGCCTCAAACGTGAGAGCAACAAGTTGGTGAAATATTTTTTGTACTATTTTTAACTAGACTTATTCATCGAGAAATTTTAAATTTCATAGTAAAATATTTTAGTGTTCAAAAATTATGACCATTTAAACTTTAAACCCCCCTCAATTTGAGGGGTTTGCAAACTTTACATGGTCATAATTTTTGAACACTAATTTTTGAACTTTCATATTGTTTACAATTATAAGTTGATAAATAGAATTTAAACTTTTCTTCTCAAAGCAGAAATTATAGAGTCAGAGGTGAGAACAGGTTTTAATAATCGGTGCTGGCAACAGCGTTTATGATTTTTAATAATCAATAAAAATATTATCACAAACATCGCTCGCTTGTATAAATAACTTAAAAATTCTGATTTTTACTGCAACAAAACGTATAGTTCAAAAAACTAAAATATGTGTAAAAAAACGCTTCAACAACAATTTGTTTGGAACAAAGGTTTATTTGGCGCAAAACAGAGATGAAAATAAAAATTTGTTAAATTTTTCATTACACGTTATGTCTGAAAAGTTTAAGTTATGTCTGGTTTCATTTAACGCACGTACTTTCTTTAAAACTAATAAAAATAATAAAAATTAACCTGTCTGTAAAACTTAGTTAATACGCAAAATCTCTTCAGATTTTTCGTGACTTAAATCTAAACTGCAAAAACGATTTTTCTTATAAAATAAATGTAACATGAATCTATATTATTTACAGCTGAATTGTTGTTGTGGTTTCGTATTTTAGGAAAATTTTTACATAAGATTTTGTTTTACAGTATCCAACCTAAACGCTTAAAATTTTTTATCGCAAATATTTTTTACTGAAAAATTTAAAGCTACATAGTACTAAAGTTTTTCGACTCTGGTGTAAATATGCACTCGTTTAAGTTTACATCGATTTTAGCTGTTGTCTACATATGCACAGCAAGTTATCTAAAATGTAATGTTTGTTCTGGTTGCTAGTCTCAAATCAAATATCTTTTAACTACAACGCACACGAAATTATAAACTAAGGAGAAAGCGGGTTAAAACGAAGCCGAAGAATAATGCCGATTAATTTGTTATGATCAAAAGATTGTTTCGGCGAAGAAAGATAAACCTTATGCTCTGATTTGCTGTATATTTCATTGCGCCAGTTGTGATTGTGGAATTTTCAAAACAATTTCTCGTTAAAAAAATTAAATGAAAACCGCAGGAAATTTCTTTTTTACTGCACAAGATGACGACGACGGAGTTTAGTAGTCCATTATGTAAACATTGTGATCTATATTGCTTTTTGTCGATTGCTATGCATGTTTCTCATTCATAACAATTTCTTTTGTGGTGTCATGACAATGAAACTGATTGAAGACTCTGAAGAGTGTAACCTGAAAAGAAAGCGCCAAACAAATGTAAGTTTCACATTCGTCTAGCCCAATCATTGCTTTAGCTTGGTAAATAAGGTATCGGACAAAAACAACGCAAACAGTATTAATTATTTTCTGTAACATGAAAACTAAAAAAACTATTTTTCTTTTGTCAGATCTTATCGGATGTTTATATAATAATATTTTTAAACAATTGTTATATTTAATATATAAAAGGTAATTTTACATTCGATTTAGCACCAAACAGATGTTTATTATACTATGATTTCTATTTTTATGGGGTAGTAAATTGTAAATAAAATGATTATCAAGCAAAAAAGTGTGAAGCTCAATTAATTGGATAATTTTAAGTTTCGAAAAAAAAAAAAAAATCAAATTTGCCTCATCATTATTATCATTATTAAGTCTATTGTGATCGTCAAACAATTATTTATATTGAAAAAAAAATTTGTCTTATTGTCGCTTTGTGTTAATGATGCAAGAAATTCTGCTCGGTGTTCTTCAGTTTTTTTATTTTTTTATTTTTAAGTAAAAAACTAAATTTTTTTGTTGCTTTGCATATAAAATTTTGGCGTTTAATTAGTTTAGATCAGCATTTTCACATTAACTTGAGCATATCAACTTATTTATCCGCCTTGTTTACCCATGTTTTATCTACCCGAAAACTTGTTTTGCAAGGTCTTTATAATTTTGATGTTGAAAACCACAAATTGAGAAGTCTATAAAAGTTTTAAGAAAAATTAAGTGGGAGGGAATATTTATGCGTGATTTTTTTTTCACCAGGTCCTAACTGCTGTGGTTTCTATCAAAACGCTTTTTGTTTTCTGTGCACGATTAATCTTGTTTGTTGTTCATAGACTTGTAAATGACGAAAAGTCAAAGTTTACGTCACTTTAAAATTCTAGACAATTATTTAGTGACGTAAACTTTGCTTTTTGCGTAACTTTCCTAGTTGTCAAAAATTATGATGAGCCTCTATAGAATTACTTTAAAAAATTTCTTTTCACTCACTTCTTCGCAATTTCTCTTCTCTCTCTTTTTACTATTTACAACTTATCTTTACTAGATAACAACGAAAGTTATAATGTAACTTCTATTTATACTTGCTTTATCTAATGCACCTTTTACTTTTTGAGTTGTTTTTCTTTAAACACAATTGATCTTCTACCTCGCATTTTTTAATATTTGTTATTTTATATCAGACGTTACTTAGAATTGACATTATGGACCTCGCTTCTCCAAGCAGGGCTGACGCAAATAGCTGTCAAGTAGGGCGGGCTCGTCTTTGCCAAATTAAAAAACAAAAAAACTTTTATTTACCGGTTGATTAAAAATAGACCAACTTTTTTCGACTGACTAAACTAATGTTCATTAAGGAAGAAGCGGATCGCATGCAAGCCTTTATTTCCGGTTCTGACTCTTGTTTTATGCTTTTTGCTTGCAAAAAAAAATCGTATATAAGTTTGCATAACGTGTACAGGTTGCATGCAACGTTTTTTTTTTTAATGAACTGATTGTTTTAAATTAAACTCTTTTTAAAACCACGAAGTATATTACAAAAACAAATAGGCGACATAGGCATAAAATATTAATTTGCGTATTGGTTTTGTTTTTTGTTTTTATCGTATTGAAAATGAAATCTCTTCGCTTTGTTCCGTTAAATGAGTTCCTAACGAGTTTGCCATACGCGACGCGTCAACTGTCCGGTGTTTTTCATTTTTAACGTATAAAAGTCTGCTTTTGTATTCTTATGTTGTGCTACTTTTTTTCAAACAAAATTAGTGACGAATTAATATCGGAATCATCCATAGAGTGGTTTTATTTTACTAATCTTACGCTTGAGACAAATGTTTTCTTAGCGTTATTTTTTTCCACGGAAAGTAATTTCAAAAAAATATATATGAAAAATATGACACAGTTTAAAAACTAGTTGCATTAATAAATTATGTCTTTTTGTATGACCCTTAAAAAACGTGCTCTATATGTTCACCTCTCCCTAAAAGGTAGCTTAGTTTATAAAAATGATTTGACCTTTTAACCTTTTCACAAAATATATAACATATGCCAAATTTTTTGTAAAATAGATACTGGCAAGTATAAGTTTTAGAAAAAAAAGTTTCTTTTCACTAAAATTTAGAAAATAATTTATCAGTAGATAGATTTCACTAGAGCAAGAAAACTTCATAAAACAGTGTTAATTGAAAAATCAATATTATTTGACCGCCTGAGCTTTATTTAAAAAGGTTTGCTCTATGTTTTTATTGGGTACGAGCGTCTGTATGACGCTAAACAATTTCTCCTGTATCTTTCACATTTGTAGACAGGTCTGTTCGGCGATTGTTTTGCTTGCGTAAAAGGTATGAGACATTTCTATGATCGGATTAACGCTAAAAATACGAAATGAAGAAAAAACAACAACCTTGGGTTGGTTCGATTGCTTTGAAAAAGAAGTTATTAGTTGACATTTGATCGTCAATTAGCAACTCAATTGTCAACTTTGAAATAATAATAACAATTAAACGTGGTCACATGCTTTAAATAAAATTTAAGATAAAATAAGAGTTTGTCAAAAAAAAATGCATGTTGCTTTATTCAATAATGCCAGAATTTTTTTTTTTTATATATTACGATTTCATTATTGTTTCGGTTTGTTCTATTTTTTATTCTTTCTGTTGTTAACGGAGGTTTTTAATGTTTCAACTCGAAACAGACAGCTGTTTCCGAATTGTTTTGTTTACAATTCTTTTTTCTCGCAAAATAATAGAAACCGGTGATATTATGAAACATCTTTATTTTCTTAAGTCTTCGTAATTGTTTCGCTCTGGTATATAAAGTCACGAAAAGAAAACGATTTTATGCGTTTTTCACTTTCAATAGAACGACAATTGATATAACGTTGCGATTGAAAATAAATCAACTTTATTCGAGCATTTATTCCGTTTTTAAATCCAAAGGTAGTTTAAAATTTAATGTCTTGAAAAACGTGTAATTTAATAATTTTAAATGTGATTTGCTTTTTAAAAAAATAATTTATTTACCTGATTTAAAAATTCTCTACGATGCACCCTCGAATTCGACTTTTTCATGTAAAAATATGGTTGACTGCTCTAAAAAGCAAAGGATCAGAGTTAGACGACGATAACGATGATATTGGTTACTTTTATTGCTCCACCCATCCGGATAATTTAATAGCAGAAAAGATATGTAGCCATAAATATTTAGAAGAAAGTAACAGTACTAAACATATCGAAAGCGAATTTGAAGACTACAAATATGCTTTTGTAAGTTTTAATTTGTCTTTTTACAGACATAGTTTGATAACTCTTGAAAAAAAGGAATTTCCAAAAAAAAAATTCTGTCACTACATTAGTCTAGCTTAAACTTTTTTTTTTATATTTAAAAATTAAATGAAGTTTTTGGTACTTCTGGTACACTTATATTCTTAGAACCTGAATCCATTTTCCAATGTAATTACAACATTAAAACAGTCCCACCGACAGTTAATATTTTAATGACATTGAAGAGTGTATTAAGATTCAATTAATAGCTTTTTTTTTTTCGCAAATAAGTTTTCACAAAGTTTCAAAATCTTTACATAATATCTATTAAAATTCCACTGAAAAAGATAACATTGGATTTTGGGATTTTTGGAGTGTTAGAATATATACTTTTTTGTGTGTAATATTAAAATAACAATGTAATAAACCAAACACAATATTTTTTAACATCGTGATGTCGGTGTAATAACAAATAACTTTTCTTTTTTTTTCTGCTTAAACGTCATAATGTCGAAATAATAACAAATATAGCATTTATTTGCACTGCAAATTATCTCAATAATAGAAACGAACTTAGCGGTTGATAATAACGGTTTTTCAATTAACCAATAACCAATTCTTTAATTATAACACAATGTTAAGTGACTACAAAAACGGTATTCAGACATTTTATTTTGCTTTTAGGTGGTTTTGTTGTGCATTTTGATTTATCAGTTTCAATGTCAATTTGTTGGTTTCGAGGTTTAGTCATTGCTTAAAAAAAAAAATTGATAATTTAAAAAAAAAATCCAATTTTATTATATTGATGCTAAAACTAGCACTTTTAAACTCGCTGTAAGCTTCGTAGAAGTTCTCACATTAAAACTCCTAAATAGCTTTCACATTAAAACTTCTTAATAATGCTATATATTGATTGAACTCTTAGGTTCCAAAGTATTGTCCCTATCTCCTGTTAATTGCTTTCGTTTTGTAGTGACCTATAAAATAATAATTAATTTTTTTTTTTCTTTTTCGATTTTTATGGTGTTTTAAGTATAAATACTTTTTAATAAATAGCACACATTTAATCAATTTTACTTAACGACATGAAGTTTTAACGAATTTTGAGTTTAATGTTTAGTTATCGTATTTTCGAACACTTTTGGCGTTCTTTATATTAAAAATATGTAAATGCATTTTTTAGTTTATATTTTCGAATTTTATGTACGAAATTTCCATGACTTTTCCAATTTATATTTAGGGTATTTTACATCGTAACACAATTGAATTTATAATGAAACTTAAAGTCTTTGCTTGAGTTCCGGATGTTAAAAAAATATCTTGTAATAGTAAAAAATATCTATTGTTAAATTTTTCTAGCAGACGTATTGCTAACCTAAAAAAACCAGAGTCCGTTTAGTATATTGGAGAGCGCAGTACCAAACTCATTGAATGTATGATTTTATTCAAAACCATACTCTCGCGTTAGGTCTAGCTCATGATCCTTCTTGTTTTTACTGGTCTATATTTATAATCCACTATTCCAAAGTTTTCCACTAAGTAATATAAACGAAAAGATCGTAATTTAATTATAATTAGACAAATAAACTTGAATTAAACTAGAATTGCATTAGAAGTCAAAGATTTTGTGTATGATTTAATGAGCCAGCTTTTTTCCGTTGCCCCAATGAGGTTAATTGCTAATAGAGCTCTGACGCGAAAGAGGAGAGTGTTTATTCATTTATTTGTTGCCAAATTTTTTTGTAACAATTTTTTTTTTTTTTTTTATAATAACGATTCGACTTTGGACTATATAATTGCTTCCGAATAGTATAATTAACACCAGTTATTATTTAGCCTTAAATTTTTTTTATAACGACTTTTAAAAGACGATAAAACTATTAATGACAATTTTTTATGAAGTTTTTATAGAAACGTTGTTACGCAACCACTTTTAACTAAAATTATTTGCAAATATTCTTTAACGACGTCAATTTACAAATCAAGTTTCGCGCGTGAGAATTTTTTTTTGTTTACTTGCTTTAGTTTTCGTAGAGTTAATTATTTTTTTATTAATGCGTTTAAACGTGCTTAAAATCCAAGGTTTCCTATTTTTCTTGCATAGAATTTTTGCTTGTATTTTTTTAATAATAAAAAAAGAAAATAGTATTATGAATTTACCGATTATTTAATAAGTTTTTAATTTTACCACGCTGATTTATTTACGTTTTTACAATTTGATATAGGATGGAGACACATCTACTGATGGTTCGGTTTCTCCTGACCTTATACCAAACGAGGGTCTCAATGTAAACGCTCCGGCTTTTACTTCTGTCAAGTATGATTGATTGTTCATTTTTTAATAAAATAATTTTTATATCATTTTATGATTTAATTTTTATTAGCATTCTTTTTCATTAAGATAATCTATTATTGTAATAGTATTTATTAAAAGATACAAATTTTTGAATTATTTCTTTCAGTTGCTTGCAATGATCTGAATTATATACTTATTATTTGAATTCAATGTTTTCTTTAATAGAAAAATTTTAATTTAAGCGTTTAAAAATAGGTGCCTTATTTGTACTTGGGTTTATTTCTTTAGAGTTCAACACTCTAATTTAATATTTTAATCAAATTCAAAATTATTTACTTAATTTGGTAGAATGACGTTTGTGTAAACTGGTCAACTATAATTGAAAATAAAACTTGTAGTAAGTAAGTAAATATTTACATATTCTTATGTTATTGGTACTATTATCAGAGGCTTCACGCAAGGGTAGACAGGGTAGTCAAAATCTGGAGGACCACCATATCTGTAATAGAATTAAGGACCACTGAGTTTATTATGGAGTTACAGATATTGCTGAAAATGTTTTAAAGGGACTATTATATACCATATTATTTATTCTGTATTAGTTGAGCAGCACGAACAAAAATGATGATTTTATCACAATTTGCTTGAATTTAACAAAATGCTTGCAAGTATTGCATAAATAATGTGTAAAAATTATACAGACCATATATGCAATATTTTTAAAACAGTTGTTTTGTAAATATTGCATATATGTTCTAACCTGCTAAAAGTCATATGTAGTAATTTTACAATTTTAATATAATTTGACCCTTCATTTTCTTTTATGCTTATTCTTTGATCATCATTAAAACCTTTGAGAAGTTCATTAAATTAATAGGAATTTTAGATTTAAAATTAAAATTAGATTTAAGGTCAACACAACACAAGTTTACAGTGCCGGATCAAGGGGGCTAGGGGGGACTATAGCTCCAGCCCGCAAATTTAGGGGCCCCAAAAAATTTTAGAGGACCTTTTTTTTTTTTTTAAGTCATTTTTAGGCTTTGGCCATAAAAAGGCCTCCAAAAACAAAAATAGCCCTGGGCCCCAAGAAGTCTTAATTCGCCACTGCAAGTTTAAGATTGGTCAACATAACAACTGTTTGAGAGTTTATGTTTAAAGTATGCAAGAAACAAAAAGAAAATATTATTTTGTATTTTAGAGCTATGCCGCCAGTTATTATCACTAAAAGTGTTGATATGGGTAATGAGCGCTGGAAACCAAATGCAGCTGTTTTTGAAGAAAATTTGTCAAATCAGATTTCTTTAACTGAAGTTCTGCAACCTTTTATTGGTTCAGATGGCTTGTATTACATTCCAACTGAATTTGTAAATAACTTTGTACAACCTGTAATTATAGATCAGTTGCCTCCTGAATCAATAAATCCTGATGGCTTTATTACTGTAAGTGGATCTGAATTAGCCAATCATACTGTTCCTAATTCTGATAAATTGGTCAATGAGCTTTCAATTGGAGAATTGAAGTCTTTAATTCAGTTACAATTTGAGTATTATTTCTCCAGGGAAAATTTAGCTAATGATGCTTATTTAGGTATTTTTAGATTATGGTAAAAAATAAATTTATTATTTCTCTTCTTTAAATTGCCTAATTTTAGTAATATATACTGTTTAATATTACTGTTTTGTTGCAAAAACAAATCTCAACTTATAAATTACACAATTTTATAATAAGATTTTTTTTATGTGTTTTTTTATTCAAGTATAATATAGTTTTTTTAAACCAAAAAATTGATATTTTTTTTTCTAAAATATTACCTAAGAATAATATTAAAATTTGTATTATAATAATATTTCTACAATATTTTGTTTTTGTTGCTTTTAACTTATTTGCAAAAGTTTTTATTAATAATTAGAATTTTTATTTTTAGTTTCTCAAATGGATAGTGATTCATATGTTTACATTTCAACTGTTGCAAAATTCAACCAGGTTTTATTTCTGTATTATTGTGTTTCTATGTTCTTTTATGAGTTACTTGTTTTTTATCAATATATAAAGTATTTGATTTAAAAATAAATGTTGTTATATATTATATATTATTATTTATATAATATTAGGTCTACCGGAAAGTTCTGTCTGTTTCTATAAAAACAATTTTCAACATGTTACTACATGTTTATTTAGCGCATGTTTGGCTCTTTTTTTTTTTTAGTTTAAAGTTTTTATACAAGCGTAGCAAATTAACTTTAACAAAATAAAATTTTATATTTGTCTTCATTATAAGTTGAACAAGTGTAAACATTGCTAAACTTTACTTATGTCACTGTATTTTATACAATTTTCAGTAAAGAAGAAATGGTACAGTAGCATGTAGAGATTTATTAAAAGTGTTTGATGAAGATACTGTTGCTGATAGGACAAGTAGAAGATGGTTCCAAAAATTTTGAACTGTTGACCTTACTGATCAGTCATGTTTTGGGCATCCATCTTTGATTGACAATGATGTTATTAAGAACATGTTGGAACAAGATCTTTTTCTGACAACATCCGAGATTGCATAAACACTTAAATCAGCTCAACAAACTATTTCAGACCATATTTGAAAAATAAGAAAAGCATAGAAATATTCAAGATGAGTGTCACATGAATTAAGTCAGAAGAATTTGGATGATTGAGTCATCATATGCACATCTACTTGCTCAGAACAGAATCAAGCCATTCCTGAACAGGATGATAACTGGGAATGAGAAATGTATTACTTCAAAAATATTGTAAGAAAATTACATATTTTAAACCTAGAAAACCTAGCTCTCTTACATCTAAACCACATTTGACTTTTGATAAGAGAATGTTTTGTATTTTGACATTCAAGGACCAATATATTATGATCATTTAAAACTAAACAAAAAGTTTAATTCAGAAGTACTGTTAGCAATTGGATAATTTAAATACAAAAATCCAAAAAAAAAGGCGGGAAATGTTCAATAGGAAGTACACCATGCTATATCATGATAATGCCAGGCCGCATGCTGCTTTGGGGCTCGTCAAGAAATTACAGAGCTAGGCAGGAAATAATGCCGCATCCACTATATTCTCCGGACTTAGTGCCCTCTGACTATTACTTGTTTTGTCCTTACAATTTGTTATTTATTTTGATCCAAAAACAGACAGAACTTTTCCATAGACCTAATATATAAATATAATATATGCTGAAGCTAAAAATTTTCCTTTTAGATTCGAAAGTTAACATCAGATATGAAACTTATAATAGAAGCTCTTAAAGGTATTAATGCATTTTGCATTTAAACTGAATTAAAAACTTTATGCTTTAAGAAGTTGTTTTTAAACTATTTTTTTTAAACAACTTTAAAAATATTTTACGAGTTTTTAAAAAAAAGTTTGTGCTGTATTTATATTTTCTTTCAAGTAATGCTTTAATTGATGTGTATAGTTGGCGATTTTTTAAGTCTTATTTATTTATGTTATTAGACTAATAATATCTTTTTAATAAGTTTAACAGGTATATTACCTTTTTTTTTTTTTTTTTTTTTTGTTAATTCACCTCCTCAAGGCTGAGAAGGCCACTACAGACGAGGAGGCTACTTATTTGTGGTTATAATCCTCGCTCAACTCTATAACTCCGAAACACAAACCTTGACGAACAAGGCCGCTGCGCGGAGAAATAAGTTGAGCGCTGTACTACCTCACTTATGAAGCGAGCGCTCTACCACTACACCACTACCGCATTTTAAACTTAAATTATAACCTTATTGATTATATTTTAAACTTAAATTATAACCTTATTGATTATATTTTAAACTTAAATTATAACCTTATTAAATTATAACCTTATTGATGTTATAAACTTTATGCTGGATATTGAGCAATTAATTACGTTTTGTTTATTTATACAGTTTATTTGTTGTAGACAGCTCTTTTAATAAAAATTTACACTCAACAAGACTGTAGACTGCTCCAAGTTATGTCTTTGCTATTGTTTTGTCAAGACTGCTTCAATACTTGTTCGTATTTAACAAACTATTAACAAAGCTGCATGCACTTTTAGGCAGTCTGCATACTTGTTGAAGGTAAATTATTATATAATAAAAAGAACTGTATATAGGAAATAGACTATGTTATTAAAATCTATATAACTCAAGTGCTTAACATGTACAAAAATGTGAAAAACATCTATAATTTAACAAAATGTATATTTAACAATTGTTATGCATTTATTAGGTGTACATTTATCAATCGCTATGCATAAATTAAATGTATATAGCATAATTCTGATATTTTAATTTATATTTGCTCCTCAAAACAAGTTTTTTGGTTTTAGAGTCTCCATATGTTCAGCTGGATGAAACTGAACAGAAGGTGCGAGCTAATATGAAAAGGTGTATTGTTATATTGCGTGAAATTCCAGAATCCACACCTATTCAAGTAATCAACTTAAGCTTTTTTATTTTTTTATTTATTGATAAATTTTTCATTAGTAAATTATTTTTTTTCAATTTAAACTTTAATTATTGTTAGTTAATTTTAAACTAATTTTAATAATCCAGATGTTAAGAGAACTGTTTAAAAATTTTTGTCATACACTGCTACCCTAAACCAATGTTTAAACATTTTTTATTGAAAATATATTTGATTTAATTACTATCAAGTTTAATTAGTTATAACACATGAGATACAAATATGTTTGTAGTTTAACATTGATAGCAATTGTAGAAAAATTAAAAACTAGTCTTGTTTTGAGGCTTATGTGATTGTTTTTCTGTATGAATTTTATCAAGTAGGTAAGTCATACAGAGTTTTTCATCCTTTTTTTTTTTTTTTTTTTGTTAGTGTGAGTTATGTTTTTTAGTTTTTATCAATAATAGTATATCATTTGCTGTAGCATTCCAAGGAGTATATATATGTTAAATTTTCTCAGCATGAAAAATTAGAGGCGAAACCTTATAATTCTTATGTCGCGATTTGCTATTTTATTTTATACCAATCTATATTACTTTGTAAATAATGTATGTTCTAATAGTTTGTAAATAATGTATGTTCTAAGCAATCAATTTAACAAGCTTGATTCGTTAATCTTTTAGTTTAAATAATTAAACAAATTTTGTTTTTTAGTTTTAAAAATTTAAGAGAATAAAACAAGTTTTGATAATTTTTCTCACCATTACTAAAGGGATATAGAACCCTAAGTCTCAGTCTCTTGTAGAACCCTCTCAGAATTTAAACCCTAAGTCTCAGAATTTGCTGATTTTTATACCATTCAAAGGTTTTAATAAATTATAATCATCCTAAAAATTTCATTTTCTAATTCTTACTGATTTCAAAAATATAACTATTTTAACTTTACCTTGAACCAACAAAAATGCCTTTTTAAAAAACAGATTTGGCTCTTCAGTGTGTAGTAGAAAGCTAAAAATATGTACACTTACTTGAAATAAGTTACAACTGGGTGTAATTTACATTGTTTTTTATTCCAATGGTAACTTTGTGTTTTATTCTGTATCAAACACTAAATTAGTTTTAAACTCTCTTAAATAGCGAGTTTGACATTTAGCAATATATGAATGCAAAGTAAGTTTAATATGAGAAATAACTAATTATTATATTTTTTAATAAGCTAACTGTCTGAGTAATTAATTATTATATATCAGGACTTTTCCATTGATTAAATTGATATTTTTCATCTTCATCAATCTCACTTAATTTCTGATCTAAAAATATCTTAGGTTTTATCAATTTTTAACCTGTTTCTATACTTTCTTTTTCTTTGATGTGGGCCAGGCAGATGTTAAATTCCCAGGCTTATTTCAAGCCTCAGTGCGACCCCTGCTTTATGCTATCATAACCTGGACATTTAGCACATCTATGAGCCATGCATTCATTATTGTTTATATCACATATTTTGACATTAAATTTTATGTATGAATTTATGAATTGTATTGTATGTATTATGTATGTAACATTTCATTGAATAGCATTTACAAGCATAATTGAACTTTTTTTATGTATACAAACGCATACACAGTGTGTACCACTTGGGCTCACACTAATACACCACTTTGGACGCAAACTACAAAGTTTTTAAAATCCTATTTTAAAATTAGGGTATTTACTTTTAAAATCAATAAAAAGTTCATGAAGGTTGCATAGCAATAGTCTTATTTGTCGCGGAGGACCACTTTTAACCTTAACACAATCATTTTTACCAGGCATAGTTCTAAAATATTTATCTTATTGAAAAAATCTTAAACCAAAGATAAAAAAAAGTCAGGTAGTTGTTGGCCTATTTTTCTTTATCAGGTATAGCAAGTATCCCATTTTCACTTTTAAGTTGCCTAGTACATGGTATAAGATGTTTCGAAACTTCAAAGTATTTTGCAGCATTTTTCAAGACCAAAATTCTAGTGTAAGAGTTAATATTTGAATTTTACTTTTTAATGTTTTAATTCTAAGCTTTTTTTTTCATTAAAATTGTCAATTGGTCAAAATCATTTACTTTTCTATTATCATGTAACTCCTTATTCGATTTTGGTGTAGGATTATGCTAATTTTCATTTTGCTGTTATAACTAAATAATGCTTTGCAGCTCCATGAACTTTATTTGATAATAACAAATGTTATTATCAAATAAAGTTCATGGAGCTGTTTAACTGTTGTTTATTAAAAGATTTACTTTTGATAAATGATCACCATCAATTTTAAACTTTTTTTCATTATCAGAACTTTGACAAGTTTTTTTGACAATCTACAAAGTTCCACTTTATTACTATACTATTACTAATTATACCTATAACAAAAATAAGTGGCATTCATAATTTAGTAATTACATTTTTTTAAACCATTTAATTATTATTATTATTTTTTTTTTATAAAACATTTTATATACGTAAAAAGTGTATTTACTTATATTTATATTTATTTTAAGATAAATTTTAAGATTATTTATTCAGTAAAAATATTTTTAAATTATATGTCAAAATGCCACTTTCCATTTTTTTTAAGAGATTACCTTGGTTATATAAAATTAATTCTAGAAAAAAAAAGGCATTTTCAAATTTTAACTCGCCCCTAGTGAAATTATGATAAATTCTTGAAATTGATATTGTAAGAACTGTTTTAGTTACATTACAACATTAACATCTTAACATCTTTTTCTTAACATCACAGCTTATCTTTTTTTTTTTTTTTTTTTTTTTTTGATTTTTCATTAATACTGTTTTATTAGTAAGTAAATTATTACTATAAACTATTAAATTATTACATTAATACTGTTTTATTAGTAAGTTTTATAAGTAATAAATTTATGTAGATTTAAATGTTGTTGTTTTTGTTTTTTTTAAAAAAAAGTGCTACATTGGTTTTTTTGTAATTAAATTCATCGCAGTAAAATTGTGATAAAAGTTTAAATTTTAGATGTTATATTCGTTTTAAAATGTTTTTAGTTGTTTTATTGGATTCTTCGCTCCAAAATATGTAAGTGTACATATTTTTAGCTTTCTACTAAACACTGAACTGAAACATGGACCAAAACCATTTTTTAAAATGGCATTTTTGTTGGTTGAAGGCAAATTTAAGAAAGTTATATTTTGAAATCATTTATAATTAGATGATGAAATTTTTGGGATGTTCATAAGTTATTAAAATAATAAACCTCTCAAAAATAGTGTTGTAAAAATCAACAAAAAAATACTTTAGGTTGCATTTTGTAAAAAAATTGGATATATTCACATTAATTTACTCTTTTCCTAAATTGTACAGAAATACTTTTAATTTTGTCATGAAATCATCTCTATAAAACACTTTTTAATTTTATATATTTTATTACACTTATCTCTCAAGTTGTCTCAAGCCTTTGACTGGTAGAGTAGTTAATAATGTAATTAATTTTTTATTTACTATTTATTTTAAAAGGAAGTAAAAGCCCTTTTTGATCACCCAAATTGTCCAAAATGGTCTTCTTTTGAGTTTGCACATAATGACAGTTGGTATGTTACTTTTGAATGTGAGGAGGATGCAAAGCGAGCATACAGACATTTGCGTGAAGAAGTACAGTGTTTCAAAGGGCGACCTTTAATGGCTCGTATAAAGGCAAAGTTTCGTTTTCTTAGTTCTAGAACTTCGATTTTACCTAAGAATAGTTCCAGTCCGTCTACAAGTTCTAGGGAAAATAGTAATCTGCCTTTCACTATTACAACCCAGCCAATAAACACCACTTCACTTGTGCTTCCATCAAGTGCTGTTTTCCATGGTGCACAGGAATTTCAGTATTATGCAACACCATTGAATGGCACATCATTTCTTCCTGCACAATGGGTTGGACAAACCAATCAAATAATCAATCCTCATGAGGTGATAATTATATAAAGATAATGTAAAAAAAATTTTATTAATTCTAAAAGTTTTCTTTTTATCTTTTTTTACTAAACTATTTTTTTTCATATTTTCTAAAATTTAGATTCGGCCAAGTAAAGCAAGCTTTACCAAACATAATGGCTACCAACATAAAAGTAAGTTTTTGACAGTGATTTATGATATTTAAGCACTTTATATACTGAACATGTTTTGTTGATTAGCTAGAATGAAATATAAATGTTTTTACAGAAATAAACCAATGCCTGTTTTCTCTTCATCATTTTTAATCTGTGCAACATATTAGATAACTTAAATATAACGTTAAAAATAAGAATTATAATCAGCATTTTGATTTATTTCAGTTTAAATTATTTATTTATGCAGTTTGATTAATTTCATACTGCTTTTGCAGTTACTGTGTATTTAGTTGAGCAATATGAGGCCATACTGAAAAAGGTAGCTTTAGGGGCTTTAGTACATACATCAACTGTTACAGGGAACGAAAAATCAACCATTTGCAGTGATCGGACTTCTGCGGTGATGGTCGGTTATCTGTTAACCGACAATCATCGCACACTTCTAACTGCTGTCACCGACCTCTGCGGTTAGCTGATCACCGCAGAAGTCCGATCACCGTAAATGGTCGATTTTTTGTTCCCTAGACTGTATATCAAAGTAAAACATGCAAAGCAGTGCAGCTACATCTGTTAAATCAGCAAAAAAAGTTAACGAATGTATATCTATATAAGCTATAGTAGATATATATACACACACAATTACAAGAGCTTACTTAAATTGGCAATCTGATATCATACTGATATAGGGAGCTGCTAGGGGCTTCAACACATATTAAATGATATAGGAAACATGTAAGGGAGTTGCTGCCACATCAACTTAGGGCTATAACCCTAATTAGGTTTATAACCCCAATCCTAACATTAGGATTATGGCAAAATAAGTTTTTTTTGTGTTTTTTTCTTTTTTTCTTTTTGCAAAAAAACTGCATGATTTTAGGTCAGAAAAAAAAGTTAGCAAATCTATCTAAATGTTTTATAGTAAAAAAAATTATGTATATGTTCATTTGTTGTTCTTGGTGTATATTTAAATATTTACTTCTTTTTCAAATGATCTCAATTATGCTGCAAATTTGAGTCTAATCTCTTTAGTCTAACAATTTAAAACCCTGTCAGTATTATAAAAACTATAATGAATGATCTCACCATGTCCTTATTACCATAAATGTTGCAAGCATAAATAATAACAATACAAGAAAATAGTTATTATTTATACAGATATGCAGTTGACGCATATATGATCATATCAGTGATCCTATTTACATTTAGAATGTTTATATATGTAAATGCTTCAATTTTTCTTGTTTTTTTTTAAGTTGCATATTACATAAAGTAGTGGCCAATAATTAATGTCCTTTTACCTTAGAGTGCTAGTTAATAGCAGAATCAATTATTTTTTCTGACAAAATGGCCAATTGTTTGTTGAATCAGGTGTTCGGGTGGGTAAAGAAGCAGTAACAGTTGGCCACTGATTTATGCTATGATTTTATGTTTTTCTAAATGTTTTACTCTAGTGTGATTTCAAATACTTATTTTCTAGATCTTAATGTTCAAAGAGGTTATTTTAGTGCTGGGAAACCTCGACAATCAATTAGAAACAGCCTACCAAACAATGGTAAAGTTAGTGAGGGAAATGGTATATCTGATTTTGATGAGCGGCAAATGGTTAATAAAAGGCCTGTTCTTGCTAATGGGTTTTCTCCAAACTTTAAAAAAGATGATACTCGTTTCACGTAAGTTTATTTTGTTTCACGATTTAATTACTAAATGATAATTTTGTTGTATCAAAATTGACACTTTAAAAAAAAAGAATTGAAAACCAGGCACCTCTGTTTGTAATATAAGGATAGAGTTATAAAAAGTGTTGATTTTATCATTAGTTACTTTATCATTGACATTTACTTGGTAATTATTTTTAAAACAATCTAATTAGTCTGTATTTTAATAAACAAAAAAACAATTAATACACTGAGAGAAGAGAAAATACAAATAAATTCAATTAATAAAAAAAAGTAAAAGTCATTTCCTGCTTTCTTTAAAATACTATTCATTGAGCATACTAAATCTAATCTTATTATTTGCATTTACAGCCATTTATAGTCTTTTTTAATGAGGTTTTTTTTATCAATATCAGTACAGAATTTAGTAACAACTAAATAGCACATTTATTAATCAGTGTTAGTAATGGTTTTTAATTATTTTGACTTTCATTCTTTTATTATATTTATAATAAAACGTTTCAAGTTTTTTAATTTTTTTTTATTTAAATAAAATTTTACAGTTATAAAAAAAAGCTCTTTTGTTTTTGTGGAAAAACAAGAGCTTATTTTATTGTGTTAAATTTTTTCAAGTTTTTGAAAAAACAAAGTAAAATTAATGTATGTATGCGTGCTGGTAAACCCTAAAACACTGACAAGAACATTGATTACAATGCTAAATTTCAGCACTGTTATCAAATAGCTTTTTGAGTTATTGTTTCCTCAAAATCAACAATTTAAATGATTTTTTTTTTTTTTGCCTAATGGCTATTTTAATTTTACTACAGTTTTTGTTAGTTTGGTTGCTATAGTAACATGTAAGTTAGTTTGGTTGCTATATATATACATGTAAGTTACTATTCATGTGATCAATATAACTATATCAATTGTAACTATACATGCGATCCAGAAAAAAAATTAGCATGATAAGAAATCAAAATAAAATACTCCTGATCTATGATGATAAAATGTTTATTAGTTTAAAAAAATTAGCTAAATATAAGTTTTTAATAATGAACTAGTACAAGAAAAAAACAGAGGTTATTTAGGTCTGCATTTTTTAAAGGTTGGGTTTTTGATCGATCAACTGTACTTGATATTTGTAGCCTGTTTTTGAAGATAATGGTCTTTTTATCTTATTTAGTTTATGAGGTTTAGGTACCCAACAACAGTCGTCTTTTCTTGACAATTTTAACAAAGGAGAATGCCTTAATTTCACAAAGATGTCTTTGTTGTCTTCATTAATTTCTGATACTAAGACAACCCATTTAAACATATTATATTTGCAGATTAAATATTTTCTAGCTATGATTTCTTGAAGATATTGTGTTGAGCCAGTGAGGTTAAATCTTAGATTAAATTTCTCCTGTTTAGAGACTCTTGGCATTTATGTTTGATACATCCTTTGGAATAGATTAGCAAAAATCCTTGTACCAGATTTATGCTTTATATTTTTGTATCAGAGTCAAAGATTTATGGACTAAAAAAACATCTTTTATTTTTAAAAACATTAAGTGAAATCTAAATAATTTATCTTCAGGAAAATAGTTTTTTTTTGATGTTAAGGAACAGTTCTTGTACTTGGTCTATGCCAGGTCTTTTTATTATACAATAAACAAGTTCAATATCTTGGACTAAGTCATTGCATAAAAATGTTGATTGACTTGGTAGCACCATGATCACATTTAGTATAAATAAAGGATGTATTGTGCATTTCTGTTAGTTCCAACAGTAACTCTAGATTTTGTTGAAATCAATCAACAGTAATTTTATTTAGGGGTATGAATGACTTTAATTTAATCATGTAATCACCTTGCGCTTTACCAATATAAGAGTGGGACATTATGCTGTCTACCTATTTACAAAAATTTTCAATGGTTTTATCTATTGTAGATGTGAAACTTTGCTCTATCTATTGTACTGTTTGAACTCAATCGTCATTCTTTTAAAACGTTTTTTTGTAATAGCTTGTGCTTACATAATTATTAGTGTTTCGAACTCCAGGCCAACGATTACATCTATAGACCATACACTCTCTTGATGCACTTATAAATAAATATTTATAAGTGCATTATATTTTTCAGGTCTTTTCTTTAAAGATCATGACACCAGGAACCAAGGTAAAAACCTGATTCTTTTCCCTTCAGTTTGCTGTTTTCAGCTTTTCTAGCATTAAAAATGTCAACTTTAGATTTTTAGCTTTTTTTCTTCTGATTTTTCAACTTTAGATTGTTTTTTCTGATATTCAATATTAAGTTCCTCAGTGACATTACATTTTAAGTCAGTTGCATTAACATTGAGGATAACTTTTTTGAAAAAAAGATTTTATTTTTTTATCTTAAGAAGCAATTTATTGGTTTGAATGTCAAAAAGAAGTAAAATGATTTTTCTCATGTATAGATTTTAATGTCTGATAAAAGTAGGTGCTAATTAAAAAAAGAAATCATGAATAGATATCAAAAAAACAATGTTTTCCTATAATACATTGGTTACCCAGGTTGCATTACTGCATCTATTATACTTTCATTTTTAAAAAGTGTATTTAGCAGAGACTAAATTCTAATCCAGACTTGAATGTTATTAGGGTTTTCAAGTAAATGCAGATCTGTGTAAATAAATTTAGAATTCTGGTTCTAAAAGCCTTTTTTTTTTTTTTTTTTTTTAAATAAAAAAAAAGGATTAAAATAAATATGCTAAATAAACTTTTTGTTAAAGTTTTCTTTTAAACTTAAATATTGAAACTTTATGATGAGAGGCATTATAAGCATTCCTTATATAAAGTTTATTAAATAAATAAACATATGTAATGGATGCTTTACTGAATTAACTGATATCATACTTCAAAAAAAAAGAACATAGCCTAAATGCATAATATAATTGATTAAAGGAAGCAATAAAAAAAATATACTTAAAAAATTGTATTTAGTAGGTAATTAATCTTTTATGCAAAACTTAAGCACAACATAAGAAAGTTCGAGTTATTAAGTGTGCAAGAAAGAGTAAAGTTCATAAAATTGCAGTTGATCATGATTGTGATTATTATAATTATGATGACGGTTATAATCATGATGATCATACTCATGACAAAGAAAACAAAGACAATTCTCTCATAATAACCTCTTCTGTAAGCTCCCATCTTATAGTATTCAAAAACCTTTTTAGTTAACATTTTCTAGCATATTAGTAATTTTATTAAAGAGGTTCAGCGCAAGGAATTAGGTACAAAAAATGAGAGTAAATAACACTTGACCTGATCTTTGCTTTTAAAATATGCAGATCCGGTTCCGGTGTTTTAAAACACTTCAAATTGCAGATAAAAAGTATTGATAATTTACTTTACTCTAGTCGCAATACAAATACCCTTAAAAAGGATCCACGTGGAAATTTAGAAGAGAGTCCTCGTTTTCAAAGACTTCGTGAGCGTCGCATTAAAGAAGATATTTCTACTGAAAAAAGTAATGTTTCAAAAAGTATGAATTCTGATAATGGAAATCTTGCACTTGATCTCGCACTCGAACATTTTCCGGCTTTACCAAGTCCGAATTCTCCCAATGAGAGTATGGGAGAGACGTCCTTGTTAAAGGTAATTTATTTTTAATACCTTTTTTGACTGTTTAGAAATAAACTTTTAAATGTGAAAGAACGTTGTTTTTATTAGGATCTTTCATCAAACAATCTTCACTTCATACACGACAAATTGTCTTTAGATTCCTCGCCTACTACTACTAGCGATCTAAGGTTAATTTTATTTATTTAGTTAATCTTAATTTTAATTTATTTTTTATTATTTTATTTTTAAAGTACAATAATGTTTTTAGTTTTAGTGAAGCTTCAATGGAGCAAAGCTCTTCTGACAGCGATAGTTTAATTACCACAGTTTCATCTCATATTGTTACGAAGATTAGTTATGCCCAGATGGCTCAAAAACCACAAAATAAAGGACATTACGATGGAGAAGATAAAGACTTCTGTTCTACATTAGAAGGAAGTGTTGTTTCTAAAGTTGATTCTAAAAGTTTTAATACACAAAAAACTCGTAACTCAAACAAAACGACAAATATAGTACCTTCTAATATAGAATCAAAAAAAAAACTAGAAAAAAACATTGATAAAAATGAACACATGACAATTAATTCAAAGGATACTTACGCCTCTAAGTTCGTCCAGTCGCCAAGTACATTACCTGTAGGCCAGCGCCCGAAGAAAGGTCATAGTATGTCGAGCGAGGCATTATCGAACTCTCAAAATATATCTAATATACGTCCTTTAATGAGTCAGGTTATTAAATTTTCAGATAGCAAAACTAACGAATTATCTCACCAAAAGACTTTAAATAATACCATAGAAACTCTTAAAGTTATACCGGGAGAAAACTATATCAACGAGACAGTGTCTAGTGTTTGCAAAGTCATTAGTAGTGAATACGAACAAAGTAATGCTGTTTAAATACGTGCGTCGTGTTTGTCTTTTAAATGTAAGTATCTCAAACAAATTGTCAATTTTGTATTTTATACACACATAACACATACACACATATATATATATATATATATATATATATATATATAATATATATATATATATATATATATATACATATATATACATATATATATATATATATATATATATATATATATATATATATATATATATATATATATACATATATATATACATATATATATACATAAATATACATAAATATACATAAATATACATAAATATACATAAATATACATAAATATACATATACATATACATATACATATACATATACATATACATAAATATACATATACATATACATATACATATATATATATATATATATATATATATATATATATATATATATAATTTTATTTTTCTAGTTTGAACTAAAATAAACATACCGCATGGAACAAAAAGGCACAAAACTGTCGGGTAACTGTTTATCGTGAATTCTTTCGCATAGAAAAATTATAATGAAAGGTGGTATGTGAACCAAGTTTACCTTTGTTTATCCGTGTTTTGAGGCAAAAAAAAAAATTGCAGAAAAGGCTCTGAATCATGAAATCAACTTTAACAAATCAAAATCACTATTTTCTGAACAAGATATTTATTTTATTTCCTTCTTCCATTTTACCTATCTAAAGAAGAAATTGTTATTATTAATCTTTAGCAGTTGTGTTATTAGGAGAATCGAGTTTTATAAAAAAATAATTTAGTTATTTCGCCCTGCTGTGTGTGTCTACATAAATAAAGTTATGTGTAAATTTCTCCATTTCTTATTTAAATCTTAGATGATTTTTTAAAAAGAAATTTAGTTTTTTTTTTTTTTTTTTTTTTTTAACTTAAATAAATCCAGAGTGACTTTAATAGGATTATTACTAATAAATTTGATAAATTCTCAATTTAATTATTTGTTAGTTTTATTTTGTGTGTCAAAATAGCATGGTTTTAATAAAAAACTCTCAACGTTTTTATAGGATATTGGACAAATACCAAAAACAAAAATATGAATACTTTCCTGAAACTTTTTAAACTCGTTTCAATTTGTTGGATGTTAAATCTTATTATTATAATTTCTTTGGTCCAAAATTCTATAGAACTTTTTGACTAGAGTGGCTTAATGCCTTCGTAGGAAAGAGCCGTTTAAATTTTAAAAATTTAGCTTTGCATTGCGGGTTTTTTTTTTTTTTTTTTTGGCAACACGTAAACGTTGCTTTATCTTTATATGTGATATAATTGTTAACGGAATAAAATGTTGATTCTGTGTTTATTTCTCTATTTATCTTTAGCATTATGAATTGAGGAACATTTTGGACACGAGTGCAATACATTGTAAACATGTGTGTAGAAAGTCAAAGCATCGTGAAAGTGTGTGTAGAAAGTCAAATTATTGTGAAAATGTGCGTAGAAAGTCAAAACATAGTAAACGTGTGTAGCAACTCAAAGTATTATGAAAATGTGTGTAGAAAGTCTAAAATTTTACAAAATGATTGCTGCGTTAGAATTAAAACTTTATTTATTTTTTAATTAAAATAAAAAATGAAATTAAAATAAAGATTTAAATAGAAACTCTGTGAAGAAACTTGATATTTTAACTTGAAAAAAAAATTGAAGTGTAGAAATATTGGAGCGCTTAACGTTGATTGAACGCGATTTTTATTTTATTTATTTTTTCTAAGAATTACTATACGCATATTTCTGTGATTATGTTTGGACTTCCCATTTGGCTAAACGTAGTCATTAGAATAACCATATGTTTCTAAATTTGTATTAAGAATATTTATATTTATTTTGAAAAAATGTACCAAAATTTGGAAACGGTAATGTGTTTTATTTTTTGCGAACTTGTTAGGGTAATATGTATAGAGCAGATGTTTTTTATGCCAAAAAATAATTTTGTAGTTGAAATAGTAAGTTAACTCGTTAAAAAAAAAGTCAATTTATTATATTATATATTTCATAATCAGCAGCTATATTTTGTAGTTACTAGGGATTAGAAAAATACCATTATTAGGAAAATAAAAGACGTGTATCGCTACAAAATAGTTTTAAAACTGACTATTTGTCAAAAAAAGAAATTGTGCGACGAAAGATTTTTTGTCAGTAATATTTAATAGAGATTTTTGTTTAGCTTATCCGCGTGCTTTGTTCGGCTTAGGACTGACCCTAAACTCCGTAGAATAATTGATTATTACGAATTATTTTACTGTTGTTGTACCTTATTGCCTATTTCGTGTTTAGTTAAGGAAATTCGACAATTGCATCGGTAGAAACTAGGTGAATTGGTGAAAACATTGAATTACTGACACGCTTTAGTGCAAGTTTGCTAACTACAGTAGTCTCTAGCTTAATTGCGCATCTTAGTTAATTGCGCGTTTAGGCCCAAAATATTTGTGTTTCAATTTTTTACTGAGTTTTTTGTTGAAAGTGTAGTTAGATCAGAAAACGTAACTATAATTTTCCTGTGTCAAGTTAAAAACTAGTTTCAATCATAAATATTTTGAGATAATGATTTTATCAGAATTTAAATAGATAAATAATTCGAATCGATTGTTTGTCTCTCGAAGAAAATAATGATAATGCAGTTGATATGAATAACAATTCTGAAGAAGAAGCTAATTTAAAGCAATTCTAAAAAACGGCAACGATAAATTAATGAATAGCTACAAACAACTGAATTATGGCGCTATTAAGGGAATCTCTGAAAAGATTTTTTTTTTTAGTTTTATACCCAAAAATGCTAAATCTTCTTTGATTTCCTTTTTTTAGGTATTAAAGTATAGAAAAAATAAACATATTTATTAGTTATTATACCAGAATTTATATTAAAGTTTGCATCAATACTATATTAATGTATCAATATTATATTAATGTATTTTTATCAATCTGATATGTAATAATTTTGTATATATATTTTCTTTTTTTCACGATAATAAATGTATATTTTATATGGTATACCTGAAGAAGAAAAAAAATAAATAATAATAACTCTTTTTCTACTGGAATGTGTCCGAAGTGCAAGACTGCAATATATAAGAAAGAGGTATTTATCTTTTTTTGTCTTTTTTTTTTTTTTTATTTTAAATCTTTCACTTTTCGTGAAAATAGTTTTAGTTTCTTAAATATAGCCCGCCGTTTAATAATGGCGATCGTAATTTAATAAAAAATATAAACAAATATAAATCTTGTGTTATTGTACCAAGAAAACAGGGCATAAAAAAAAAAAAAAAAAAAAAAAAGAGCATGGCGATGGCAGCAGTAAAAGATTTGAACGAAAAAGTAAAGATTCTAGAAAAAAAGCTAGATGAAAAGGATGAAATCATTAAAAACCTATTATCTCGAGTTGAACATTTAGAACTTTTAGAAAGACAGAATAAAAATGTACAAACTTTAGATAATGTTGTTTTTGAAAACGAAAAAGCATGGAACATCGTAGCTGGAAAAAATATTAAGAAGACTAAAGAGCAAATTAACATCATCAATATTATTGCAAATGAAACAGTGGAACGAATGAAAAAAGAAAACAACATACTGATTTACGGAATAACCCAATGTAATAATGAAGACATTTAAAAAAAAAAAAGTTTGACCAAAATGAAATAAAAACAATTATGTCTAAAATTAATACAGAAGCTATAAAAATAAAAAAATTGACACGTCTAAGATCTAAAACCGAAGGTAAATCAGCTCCAATAATTCTTGAATTAGAAAGAAAAGCCTGTAGAAATTTAATGTTAAAAAATACATACAATAACAAGGAAAAAATTAATGGTATTTATTTTAACGTTGATATGACTGAAGCAGAAAGGTACCTCATGTATCAACTAAGAAATCAAACCAAAGAACTTAATACTTCAATTACTAATACATCATCGATATATTATGGTATCAGGGATTACAAAATAGTGAAATTAAAACGTACACAAAATTAGCAATCAATAAGTTTAAATATTAGTTCATTCAAACCACTTTTGCCTAATAATAAATTCAATAAAAAAAACATTGTGACGAATACATTGACTAAATATGTTAAAAAATCTCAGACTCGTGATGTAATTATTTCCGAAAAACGTAGTATAGATATAACTAAAAATTGTCTAAGTTGTAGATACACAAATGCTACATCATTAAACAATAAATTTGACTTGTTCCTATTAGATATTGCAACCTTTAAACCTGATATCTACATGATCACAGAAACTTGGTTTAATGAAAACTCAGTTAGACATGTAAATGGTTATCAAATAATCCATAATAATAGATCAAATAGGAGTTCAGTTAAAGCACATGGAGGTGGTGTTGTTGTAAAAGAAGGTCTTTTAGTTTACTTACCCAATGATAGTTTCACTAAAAATATCAACATTGGACATACTTGGTGTATTTTAAGTATAAAAGATGAACAAATTTTACTTGGCTGTATTTACCGACCACCTGATGTATCTGAAGAAATAAATAACTATATCTGTGAAATAATAGAAGCAGCTAAAAATAAAATTGATCATAACAGGTACTCTGGTTTACTTATTTCAGGAGATTTTAATTACCCAAACATAATATGGAAAAAAAATAATGTTCAAACCATGAAAAAATATGAAAAATACTCCACCAAATTTGTTGAATGTATAAATGACAACTACTTACATCAAGCAGTTATGTCACCTACATATAATGCAGATTTAATTAATGGTAATATCTTAGATTTAATTTTAACAGAAACACCTGAATGTATAAATAAAATCCATCATAACCCAACTCTAGGCAACACTAGAAATGGACACCAAATACTTAGCTGGAAATATTTTTTAAAAAACACTACTAAAAAGGAAATGTCAAACTATGGGAAATCTGGATTTAACTATAAACTTGGTAATTACACAGTCATAAATAAAGCAATCAATGAAAATGATTGGGAAAGTCTTTTTGGAAAAAAAAGTATTAATGAGTGCTATGAAATATTCTTAAATATCTATGATAAATTATGCAACAAATATATTCCTAAAAAAAATATATACTTCAATAAACAACCACAGCCCAAACCTTGGATTGATAGAGAAGCAAAAAAAGCAATAAGAAACAAAACAAGTTTATGGCACAAACTATTATCTAATGGTTTTAAATGTGACCAGCTGAAAGTCCAATATATTTTAATCAACAAAAGAATAAAAAATCTTATTAAAACAAATAGAATAAATTATGAAAAAAAAATAGCTGACTCATCGAAAGAAAATCCAAAACTGTTTTATGCATATGTTAACTCAAACAGAAAAATAAAATTAGGCATTAATATGATAACAGATAAAAATGGTTCTTTACAAACAAATCGTGATGATATTGCTAATATCCTTAATGAAAACTTTCACTCATTATTTGTTATAGAAGATCCAACAAATTTTCCTAATATTGCATTAAAAACAAGCAAGACTTTAGAATTAGATATAGACTCAATAATAACTCAAGACATCGTTAGAATTAAACTAAGTGAACTAAATGTCAATAAAGCATTAGGAGCAGATGGTGTAAGTTCATATGTGTTAAAAAAATGTCAAAATAGTTTTTGCAAACCTCTAGAGTTACTATTCAAAAGATCCTTACAAGAAGAACAAATTCCACTCATATGGAAAATGGCTAATGTAACACCACTACACAAGAATGGAGATAAAAATGATCCTGCAAACTATAGACCAATTTCATTAACGTCAATACCATGCAAAATTCTAGAGTCAATCTTAGGTAGCAAAATAATGGATTACATGTTAGCAAACAATTTATTAAATAGTAACTAACATGGTTTTCAAAAGAACAAAAGCTGTACTACTAGAAACACAAGATATTTTACTTGATGCTATTGAGAATGGCTGGTGTGTTGATGTGTTGTATACAGATTTCTCAAAAGCTTTTGATAAAGTACCTCATATGCGATTGATGTCAAAGTTAATATCATATGGTATAGTTGGAGTAATTCTAAATTGGATAAAAGCCTATTTACATAATAGAAAACAACGAGTAATTTTAGGCGATTGTGTATCAAAATGGCTAACAGTTGAGAGTGGAGTTCCACAAGGTTCTGTCCTTGGGCCTCTTCTGTTTCTTATTTTTATAAACGATCTGCCAGACACATTAAAAAATAATATTAAATTGTATGCAGATGATAGCAAAATTATAAATATTTTTAAATCAGATGAAGATATCCGTATAAACAAATTACAACTAGATATTGATAATATTATGAAATGGTCGTCACTATGGTTAATGAAATTTAACTATGAAAAGTGTAAAACTATGCACATTGATTTTAAAAATCCTTGTATAACTTATTCAATGTTCGACGCTGAAACTCAACAGAATAATATATTAGCAGCATCAAAAGTAGAACGTGATTTAGGAGTAATGATGCAATCTAATTTAAAATGGACCAGTCATATTGATAAAGCTGTTGGTAAATCAAATCAAATGCTTGCTCTTATTAAACGAACTTTTAAATATTTCGACTCAAATATGACAAAAAAATTATATACAACTTTTGTAAGACCGCATCTTGAGTTTGCAATCCAAGCATGGTGCCTTTATCTGAAGCAAGACATCTTAAAGTTGGAAAAAGTACAGAGAAGGGCAACAAAACCTCGTACCAGCTTTTAAAAAAATGCCATATGAAAAAAGATTACAGTTAATGAAATTAACAACTCTAGAAGAACGCCGTTTAAGAAGAGATCTTATTTTTCAATATAAAATACAAAACGGTTATGAGAAAATAAATTGGATAAACGACTCGACATCTCAAGTTCAATTAAAACCTTACAATTTTCGTAGTCATAACCAAAAGTTAACAAAGGCATATTGTAAGAGCAATTATAGATATAATTTCTTTTCCTGTAGAGTCGTAAATGCTTGGAATGGTTTACCACCATATATTATCGAATCAATGACAATTGACCAATTCAAAAATAAACTTGATAAATCAGATTACTGCAAAAATTATTTATTAAATACTAAATAATATCTATATACATTGAAAAGTATAACAATGCTATTATAAAACATTTATAGCTGTTATAGCACGACATCTTCTGTTGTTTTGCTCCACAATTGATTTCATCAGTTGTCACAGTGTACATTATTATTATTAAATGCAAGATATAAAAAATTATTTTACATAAAGGAAAAAAAATGTTAAAAGTGCAAAAATCTCCTGGTAAAGAAGAAAAGTTACTATTTCAATGCTTGATAGAATACAAGTGGTGTCTATATTATGTCAATGTCCAATCTGTAGTTTAGCAAGGGACCCTATAAGTAATATAGAGATGAACATAAGGGAGTACATTGACCCCATTTTTCCCCACGAAAATAAGGGTAATCCAAATTCAAGATCTTATAGTAATGCCTAAATGTGTGGTGAGGTATTAGACACTCCTGAATAGAAAATCAACTGCTAAAAACTTAGAAAAATTATGTCAAAATATCTTAAATTGTTTAAACAGGTGACATCAAAAAATTCCTAAAACTTTATTGGGAATGAAAAAAAGCTAAGGTTTAACTACCAACACGTGGAACGTAATTATATCTAAACCTTGGAGAGAGTATCTCTCCTAAAAAGATTTAGAGACAGTATAGAAAAAGTTTAGACACAGTATTTAATATAAAAAAATACATGATTTGCCTAAATGTGTTTTTAAAAGTATGTTCACTGAAATAAGAAAAGATGTTGGTTGATCAGGCTTTGAAACAATGTGAAGGTTAATGTGAATAGAAAGTCCGATTTACTATATCAGTTTTATTGCGTTCAGCAGTTGACATTTTAGCAAGGTGTTAACCATACAGAGGTTCAAAAAGATGTAGTATATATGGAAGATATTCCTATGCTTGTTGAAGAAATATGCAAACAAAGTGATATTGTTTTATAAGAATCGATTGTGATTGGTATCAACGGCGGCCAAAGGTCAATTAATGTTGTTACGAGCCTTTTTCAATCAGAAAAACTTAAGGATCAGTTGAGGAACCAAAAGGACTCGAGTGTAAATAAAGTTATTTTATTAGCAATTGTTCAATATGTTAAAGAAAACAGCTACAATTTAGCCCAAAGTGTCCACATTCCTAAAATGCGTGAGTGAAAGTACTTCCTTGCATCATATCCTAAGCTTATCAATATCATGCTAGGACTATATGCCAATGGTAGAAATATGCATGTGCTTATTGTATTGGTGCAAAAGCCAAATTAGGAGAATTTAGAACCTTTGGTAGTTTATCCCATCAGTACCAACGTTTTGTTGATGCAGGGATGAAGTTGATGTTGATGAAGAATTTTTTGTCTATTTTTTAGGAGCTAACTAAATGTATCAAACGGCTGTTATGGGCGTTCCAAAATATCTCAAGGGTTTTGACAAGTTATTCACTAATGTTTCCTTATCATTTTTGAGGGTTTTATTTGTAGGGCACTTTTTTAATCTTAAGAATCGTTTTTCTAGATTTGAAATCAAATATCCCCCCCCCCCCCCCTGTAAAAAAATCATCACAAAATCACTAACTTTTCTTCTCCTATCGCGTGAATTTATTTGTGGACTATCCCTTAACAAACTCCAACAGCATATTTTTAATACATGCAATTTTACTATTTTATCTATTTTTCAGAAAAAAAAATTTATTACATCAATTATTTTGTTAATGAAAATTGATTACTTTAGCTTTTTCTTCTTTTGATGCAGTTTTGTCTTCGTTTTTACAGAGTTAACAAGATCAGAAAGGCTATACAAAATATATATATATATATATATATATATATATATATATATATATATATATATATATATATATATATATATATATATATATATATTATAATAATAATAATAATAATAATAATAATAATAATAGTAATATTTGAATGCATATACACGCATTCACATAATAATATATACACATATATAAATGCATTAAAACTGATGCCTAATTTTAATTTAAAACGGAAAACGCTTGTGACGTTTCAGAGGATTAAATTACATAAATTATACTGACCAAGTATCCAGCTTCTTTGTTTCTTTATTAAAATTAGCGTCAATTGTTTCTAAAGTAAAAAAAAACAACTAAAAACTCTGATACAAATGTAGTTAATCAGGGTGGCCACATAAAATTTTTGTAAGAAAAAGAGGATATTAAAAGATTTTTTTTGACTAATTTAAAAACTACAAAATTTCTAATGAAAAAAGATTTAAGAGGATATTTTTTATTATTTTAACTCCATGTTTTTTAAATGCGTTTTTCCAGGGTTTGGATATTAACAACGTCATTTTTTATGTTAGATAACATAGATTAGCTAAAAATAATTTTTTACAATCCAATGCTCATTTCAGATGTTAACCAGTTTAGCAGGCCATGAATTTTGAACAAGAAAATGAAAAAACAAAAAAGAAGAATTAAAGAGGAGATTTGATCACATTGTTAACTTTTTAGACGATAATAGAGAATTTTTGAGGCTTATTTGAAACCAACTAATTGTTAAATGTGGTTATTTTTTCATGCTAAATCTATTCTGAATAAAACGTTATTACACTTTAAAATAAAACAAGATGGCTAGATGAAAACCTTTTTGATATAATGTAGTTAACAATCAAAAACTATAAAAAAAAGTGATAGAATCCTTTTTTTTTTTTAAATAAGTGATAGTTTTTTGTGGTAGAGACTGAGCACGTGTTGTTTCTGAAGGTTAAATAAAAAACTGATGTTTTTTTACGATGACAACCCTACAAAGTTTCACTTAGAACTAATAAATTTAATGATGCTTGTGTGGACTGTGACAAGTGCAGTTTAGTCAACTGACATCCTTTGTTTGTATGTAATTTGGCCATCAAAATCAAAGTGATTCTTTCAAACACATTTTCCAAATAGGTCTTCAAATTTACTTTACTAGAGCAATATAGTTGGAATACAGATGTTACATAAAGCATCAACTATAAATACTACAGATACTTTCATTAAATCATCATAATATATCCAACAGTCTTAAGGTAGAGCTTTTATGTTGATGGTACGAACATTGGCAAACCAAGTGGCTTTCACTACTGTCAAATGTGATGCACGACTTTATCTTTAGTTCACAGAACTTGCTAAACTAAACTCAAAAAAACAACAACCTTAAAACAAAAAAAAAATTGGTTTTTTTATGCGTGTACTTTTATATTATTTATGACACGAAAATGAAGTCTTTTCCTGGACATTGTGAACTTTTCAGAATCAAAAACTTGATTACTTTCCGTTTAACCTTTAAAAAGATGTCTTGATTACTTTCCGTTTAACCTTTAAAAAGATGTCTTGATTACTTTCCGTTTAACCTTTAAAAAGATGTCTATTTTTACTCTAAGGTTTAATTAATCAATATATTTCGATAAAAGAATTTAGAATTAAGATCATTTAAAAATAGTCAAAAACTAATCTTAAGTAAATACCGTGAAATAATACAAATAATAATGATGATGAACTACCAATTATTATATTTAATTATTATAACAATAATAAGATAATTATATAATAATAAACCATACAATAAAGCTAAGTACTAATATTTTAATTTATTTATGTAATATTTCAGTCTGAATAGTTCAGACCGTCATCAGACGTAAAATTAAATACAATAAAAATCTCACAAAAAAAAAAAAAAAAAAAAAAACGTATGTAAAAAACCGTTATGGAAGACATTACAAAGATGAGCTGACGTAACGTAAACAACTATTTTGAAATTTCTATGATTTTATTAAAAAGAGGTCGCCAGCTATTTGACGCAATTTTAACACCGTTGTCTTTGTTCAAAAGCGGTGGGAAGTGTCTTATTTCGTAATTTGTTTGGGCATAATTAATTTCAAGTGACTCTCTTATTTTCCTTTCATGGTAGTTAGAATTGAATGCGATCGTTTTTGGGTGCATCCAATTAAATATACCGTGGCAGTTCTTGCAGTGTTCTGTGGCTCCGGAAGCATGCCATTTTTTTTTTTTTTTTTTTTTTTTTTTGTGAGATTTTTATTGTATTTAATTTTACGTCTGATGACGGTCTGAACTATTCAGACTGAAATATTACATAAATAAATTAAAATATTAGTACTTAGCTGTATTGTATGTGTTATAAATTAAATAAATAAATTATTAAGTACTACAAGAAATGTCATTAAAACAAATAATAAACCAATATTAATCTCAAAACAGCAATTGAATATTATACACAGACGGGAAAGTTAGAAACAGATAACCTACCATGAAATAAAAACAACTACTGCAAAAAAAGTAACAATGACTTAACAAATATAATAACAGCAATATCAATAATGATATTTAAAACAATAAAAGTACTGTCTGTAAAATATATCATTAAAAAATAACAATTTTTTAACAATACTGACAAATAAAAACGTGTAACATGCATATTTAAATATATTTATTTTTATTAGAGTAAAAGCACAACAAACCGGACAGTGCACAAAAGCGGACACATATCAAAAAAAACTAAATATCTTCACTAAAAATAAGATACTTGCAAAATTTAAAAAAGTTTTTAATTTTTAGTGTGTGGAAAATTATAAAATAAAAAAAAAAATTATTCATATGATTGCTTTAATAAGTTCAAACAAAATCTAACCCTAAAAATCAAACTTTTTTTTATGGAAATTAGGTTCTTAGCATAAAAGATTTAAAAAGGCAAATTAAAACAAAGGAAGCTATTTTGTTGGAAATTTTCTGCTAATTTCAAAAATAGTTTTAGATTTTCATAATCTTACTCTGTTAAAAAGTTATGACGGAAATAAGATTTTCTTCAGTTTTCACCTTAAACCGGACACAATAAATTTACGCTATAATCAATTAAATGTTCATCGGTTAATCTGTTTATTATTCTTCACTCTAATTGAATTTTTTTATTATGTTAAAGTTAATTTATTTTATTATTTTTTCACGCTAACTTAAATTTTTTTAATTTGTGATTTTAAGTTTTCACTAGGAATCCCAGCCAGAACAGAATCATTCCGGTTCCAACCGGAAATAAAAAATTTTAGGCCGGATCGCCAGAATTTATTTTAAACTTTATTTTATAAGAGACTATGTTAATTCAAAAAATCATTGTGCTACAGAGCAATAAAGAACTATAGGTAAACCTAGGTAAAAAAATACAAAATTCTTAACAAACACTATGTAGTTTTATTTACAGTAATCAATTATGTAAGGATCTTTAGAAGTTTAAGATTATTGTAGTGCAAAAAGATTTGCTATCCAGTTTTGGATAGAGGTGTATCGGATATTTTTGCCGGATATGCCGGATATTGAACTTTTCTAAAGTTCAATAAGTGTTTATGAAGAAAAAATAAGTCTTGCCAATCTACAATAAATAGCATTCAAGATCTTACTTAAAAAAATCAAGAGAAAAACTGTATGACATTGGATATGTGCTGACGAAGTATAGAAAATAGTAATTTAAAAAAACAAAAATTTGGCTTTAAAAACGATTTTTTTTAATGCATTATTAACGCATATTCCTGTGTTATACCTGTTTTTTCTTGATTTTATTTTTTTAAATCTTGAAATTTTAAATATATATAAAATAAGTTATAAATATATATTTTGTAGGCTCTAAGCTGAGGTACAGGCTTTCACTTTAAGTCTTAAAGGTAAAAAATTACATAAGGAGTTGTCCATAAAATATGTACGCTTATTATTTCAACATCCCATCCCAAAATAACATACGTTATTTTGAGTACCCATCGCCTCCCTAAAAGTACCTAAGCTTTTAACCTACATACCAAACATTTTATGATATTTTCTTTCAATTTAGTGTCTCCTTACTTTTAAAATTGTTCCAGCCCTCCGTCTCATAGTCACCATTTGCAGGCCCCCTCTTCCCATAAAAGAGTACGTACCTTATGGACGATCCTTAAATATAATTCTCGTTCCGGCCAGAATTACTCAGAACTAAGCGAAAGAATAGCTACTAACATCGCATCTTTAAGAGCAGGGCCATGTACACCAGAAACTATTGCCCACTATTTTGACGTTTTGAAAAAACATTTTGATTTGGAAAAAATAGGTTTTAGTAAAGCCATGCATTTGTGGAATTGCGATGAAACTGGTTTCAATGGTGACAAAGGCGATGCGAAAGTAATTATCAGAAGAGGTGCAAAGCGTCCACTAGTATTGACTGGAAATAACGAAAAAATAAATTACACTGTTCTCAATTGTGTTAATGCTGACGGATTCCTTCTCGCGCTTTTTGTTGTTTACAAATCAAAGAATCGACTCTATGATGATTGGCTTAAAGAAGTCCCACCAAACACACATTACACAATATCACCATCTGGTTGAATGGAAAGTAATCAATTTTTGCAGTCAATGAAAAATTTATTTCTCACATTCAAAAAATTGGTGGTCAACATATTTTACTTTTGGATGGCCACAGCACACACCTGTCATTAAGTGTTGTCTTAAAGTGTAAAGAAAACAATATAACACTAATTTGCATTCCTGCCCAGTCATCTCACATTCTGCAGCCTCTAGATGTTGGTGTATTTTGCCATGTTAAAGATGTTTGGCATTTTATTTTAAGAAAATTTTATGCTGAAAGTGGTTTTAGCAATTTGTCTAAAAAAACATTCCTAAGTCTCTTTGCACAGTTGTAAAGAAGCAACAGTTTACACTCATACTCAAATTATTGCTGGTTTTGAAAACACTGGGCTCTTTCCATTAAATCAAGACAAAATTGACAAATCAAAATTACAAATTTATCAAACTTTTAATAATTCCTTAATAACATCATCAGCAGTTACAAAATCATCACGCAGCCCAAGTTTTTTGCCTTAAACTGCTCAACAAACGCAAACCTTAATTCTGCATGCAACTCCAACTTCAATTTCAACTTTAAATTTAACTTCTCAAGAAGAATTGGCGACTTGTGAAAAAACCAATCTTGAAAGAGCTCTCTAAAAGCAAATTCAATTCCAATACGCTTTCAAGCATCTTGCAAAAAAAGCCAGAAATGTAAAAACCGTGGCTGGTCAAGCTTTTACAGAAGAAGCATGGTTAAACAAGTTAAGAGAAGAAGAAGATCCAAAGCTATTAAAACAAACATATGTTGATATAGCAACAACAGAAGTAGAAACTCCTGCTAAGAAAGGCAAAAAAAAGTAGAAAAAGTACTCAAAGTTTTTCGAAAATGAAACGCCAGAGAAGCAAGTTTTATGGAAAACTTGTGAAAAATCTAATTGCAGTTCGTGGTTTTGTGAACTTTGTCTCCCAAAAAAATATATAAAAGGCGAAGAATTCTTTTGCAAGAAAAGTTGCTGAACCTAGTTTATAAATTTTTTATTTTATTTTAAGCTTTAGCTTGCTTATGTTTTTTTATTTATTTTTTTCTGCTTGTATTATTATTATGTGTATATTTTAACAATAAAAATAAAAACATTGAATTTATCAATTTAACTATGTTTTTTTTTTTCATATAATTTCATAGTATGTCCAAGTCATTTTTAAAATATCCGGAAAATTGTTTTGGTAAAGTATCCGGAAAATATTTTCCTTTATATTTCTCCTAATTTTGATTTTAGCTAAATCATTTTTATTTTATTATTTTTATTTTTCTATGAGTGATAAGTGAAAAAGCTTTAAAAACAAACATATTACAAAAATTTATAATTAAACTTGTAGGTATAGAAAATGTTTTGGAAATGCGGATAAACTAAAAAAAAAAACTATCCAGAAAAGGATAATCCCTGTAATTTGTACTTTCCGCTTTTAGGAACAATTTTTCGAAAAGAGGATACTTTTAAAAAAAATAAAATCTTATTTACCATAGAAACTTGAAATTAAACTTTTTTTTTTAACTACAGAATAGCTTTAATAAACAACTATATTCCACAAAAAAAAAAATCCTACAATTTCTTTATATCAACAAAGTTATTTAGTTTTTTGGGAAGAGTGTCCTGTTTGCAGTACTTTTACTCAACCAAATAAAATAGGGTAATTCAAATATATTAATATAATAACTAAATAAGCAAATATTACTTTATATATCAGCAACAAATTTGTAAACGGAAAGATAATAAATCTTATTAAATACAGTTGCCGATAAAGATATAATTAAAAATGTAAAAAGACAAATGTAAAAAAAAATACTAGCTAACTTAAAATAATATTAAATGACTACAAATAAAATGAAAATCTTTTTTTTTAATATTCTTTTTTTTATTCTTTTTTAATTTTATTAGTTTACTTTTTCTTTCGGCAATTTTTTTATTTAAATTTTGTAACTGTTTTGTCAACGATTTAACCATATTCAAACTTTGGTACAACTATTTCAATATATTTTTTAAACTTTTGGTTGCTTCAATATTTGATGCTAATATATATTTTTTAATGATATACTATAAGTAATATATATTACTATAAATATATACTTTATTGAGTTGATTAAAAGTATAAGATTTTCTAGAACTGGCTATTTATTGAGATGTAATATATTGTCAATTATGTAGACTAAATTGAAGACAAAACGTAAAGTAATATATACTACTATAATATATAAATTTAATATAAACCTCAATATATAAACTTCACTTGTTTTTCTTTTTTTCTTTTTAGCTCATTTAATTTCTTTTCTTTTTTATAAATATTATCATATAAAAAAGAAAAGAAATTTAAAATATATTAAAAACTATATATATTGACTTTTAATTATCAAACAACTATTTCACACTTTTTTGGCTCAACAAATGCATGCAGCAACAGTTTATTTTAGTTCTAAATTGGATAATGAACTGTCTTCAAACTTCAATTGATAGTATATTACATCTCAATGAACTCCAAAATGACCTCTCACTTTTTCCTTGCTTTTAAGAACTTTATACTTTTAATTAACTCAATAATTTCTTTATTTTTCAGCTAAATATCAACGATGATGATGATATGAACATAGCTGACAACTCAATCAATTGTAAATATTTTGACATTTCAAAAATCAATTGTAAAAATTTTAACTATTCAAAAATAAATAATAATTGTTTTTCTCTATTTCATTTGAACATTGCTTCATTAGTTAACTTCATATGGTGGGGTCTACTTTATATTTCTAATAAACTAGTTTATAAATCTAGAAATTCTTTAGTTACGTATAAACCACAATTCTTAGTCTGTGCTTGTTAAAATAATTTTCCCTAAAAAGTCTAATATCATTCTAGGCTGTGTTTATTGTCATCCTAACATGGATATTAATGAACTTAATGTTTCATATCTTGCTATTCTATTTGAAAAACTTTCTGCTGAAAAAAATAAACTTTCTTTATAATGAACAACTTTAATTTAGATTTTATTAAAACAATCTCAAATGATTCAATCTTTGAATATTTAAACACAGTTGTTTCAAACAATTTCCTTCCTTTTATATCCTTACTGACAAGAATTACGAACCACTCAAGTACTTTAAATTTTCAATTTCGATTTCTAAAGATATTTTCTCGAGCAATCAAATCGAAACTATTGGAATATTAAATGAGCAAATGCATTTTTCTAATTTATTTATCTTTAAAGAAAAAATAATAACTAATAAAAGCAATACTTTTCTTTAAAATTTCAAAAAACTAAATAATAATTAAATGAGGAATGAATTCTTGAAAAGAAAATTTAAGAAAAATTAAGTCAAGGTTTTCAACTAATAAATCATATTCACTAACTTTAACTCTCTTCTAGACAAAGAAGGGAAACATTTCTATCTAAATATATAATATCTAGAGGTATTTCTTGACAAAAACCTACCATGGCACTATCAACAAATTCAACTAAACAAAGATTCTCACAAGCCAATAGTATATTTTCATTATTAAGACACTATGTTCCCCAACATACTCTAATACCAATATACCGTTCCTTGTTCTTCTCCTATCTAAGTAATTGTTGCACTGTTTGGGATCAAAAAGTTTCCTTAATCGCATAAACAGTTTACAAATTACTTCCATAAGAATTATTACATTTTCTCCTTTACAATTTAATATCCACAATAGGTTTTTTGAATTAAAAACTCTAAAATATAAGATCTTGTGAAGCTTTATGACTATCTTTTTTTTGTTTGATTTTCTACAAAATAATTTATTTAATTTGTTTATAAATTTTTTATTAAAACATATTTAGGAGAAAAATTCAAAAATTACACCAAAGTATGTTAAACAACCATGTCATAAGGTATACCAACAGGCCTTTTTGGTGATTGTCTATATATAGAACTTCCACAGTGCAATGTTTCATAATTTATTTAAACTGTTTAAGCTATTTTCTATGCTTACAAAGGAAATGTAATTTAAAAAAAATTTTTAAATTACAATATGATACATAAAGTAATGAATAAAAAATTTTTTATTTTATTTAAAAAAAAAGAGTGATTAACAAGTACTGCAAATGTTTAATTCTTTTTTAATCCATAAGTTTGGATTTTGAAGTGGTTGCCTAGGGTGTTTAACCCAGTGGTAGCCCTAAGTACACCAAAGTAACTATTAGTCAGTAGGAACTGTCCTGGTGGGAAATCGGCTAGCGAATAGCTAGCTATAATTGTTACGATAAAGACAGCGATTTGGCCACAAGGATCGCTAGCTTTTTTAAGTTAGCGAAAAGCTATCAATATTTTTAAAGATAAAGGCAGCGATATAGCTAAGAGGACAGCTAACTTAATAAGCTGAAGATCCACTGGCTATTGTACCTAGCGTCATATCGTAATAAAATTGTTGTCTAAAAAATTTTGATATGTAGCTATCAACCAGCTATAGATTTGTAGATATTTTGTAGCTAGCTACAAAGCTACAATATGTAGCTAGCGACACATTGCTACAAAATCGCAATGTTTAAAGTTCAATTATTTTCATAATTATAATAGACTCTAATAACACTAAAAATCGAATTTTTAAAGATATTAAAGACATTTGCAAAAAATAAAATAAGAAAAAAAAAATCGCTTAAAAATCGCTATGAAGCTAGCTAGTCGCTAGCTTATTTCCCACCGGGGTAGCACTCTAAAGTTTGAAAAAGCACTCCAAAACAATTGATTTGAAATAAAAATCTTAACATCAAACCTGTTGATGATCAAAATTAGAAGCAAACCTGAAGTGGTACCTATGGTTGTTTCCATGGGCGCATTTAAAAAGCAAAGTGATTTCATATAATATGACCAATTGATGAAAACAAGAATATCTATACAAACAAGCAATTCATAAAAATACATATTTTTACTTACCATGACCAACATTTAAATTTTCACCTCTACGCTTTTGTGACTCAGCAATAATTTTAGTTGTACCCTTTGTTTTTCTAAATAGAAAATATTTAAAACACTAGCTTTTTCAAAAACGCCAAATCTTACTTAATTCCTTACATATAATAAAAATGATACATAAAGTAATAAATAATAAATAAAAATGATACATAAAGTAATAAATAATAAATAAAAATGATACATAAAGTAATAAATAATAAATAAAAATGATACATAAAGTAATAAATAATAAATAAAAATGATACATAAAGTAACAAATAATAAATAAAAATGATACATAAAGTAACAAATAATAAATAAAAATGATACATAAAGTAATAAATAATAAATAAAAATGATACATAAAGTAATAAATAATAAATAAAAATGATACATAAAGTAATAAATAATAAATAAAAATGATACATAAAGTAATAAATAATAAATAAAAATGATACATAAAGTAATAATAAATAAAAATTATATAAAAAGTAAACAATAAAGTGATACATAAAGTATTTTTTCCAAATTTACTAAAAAACAAAGTATAAATTTAAAAAAAAAAAAAAATTAATAATAATAAATATTGAAAAAAATATTAATTTAAAATAACACTATGTTATTTTAAATTAACAACCACATAAATAATATATTATATTGAGTATGGGCAAGCAAGCATCACGTTAGAATCATTTCAAAATATTTAACCTTTAGACTCAACTCAGTTTTGTAGATTTGACCACTCAGCCCGCAGTACTTTCAGCTAAAATTGTAGGTACATTAGAAATAAGATTTTGTTATCTTATCTTTGTCTGAAGTAAAGTTTTTCTGAAAAAGTGTTGGCCTAAAAAACTTTTTTTTTAATGAATTATTTCTCATAGCACTTTTTTTCAGAAAAATGCAAATTTTTTGAAAAAACAAACAAACATATATACTATCCATTTGTTAGCAGAGTTGCGAAAGAAAAATAAATAAAAAACTTGGCTACTAAAAAAAAAATCAAAGCCCTACTCTGCAATAATTTATATTTAGAAATCCTATTTGAAATTATTTAAATTACTTTCTCATTTACTCATAATGAAGTAGAAGAAAAATGAAACTTTTAAAGTATCAAATTTTTGCTGGTTTACCAAACCTGCTTTAAACTTGGGATTGTGTCAATCAGTGACCTTAGGAAGTCATAGTTTTTCTAGTTTTCATAATAAAAATGTAAGTAAAGTTTAAAATAAAACCACATGAAGTTGCTGTTTTCCACACTGCTGTTGACCATTGATTTGAAATTAATAGTTAGAAAAGCTTTAGTTTTTAAAGGGATCCCAAACTCATAACACATTTTGTGTTCATATTTAAGATAATGTTAAAAAAAGGTTTGAACCAAGTTTTTTTGATTAAAAATAAATAATGAATGCATACCGAGAAAAACTAATCTTGTTGTTTTAGCCAAAGCTAGCCTTCTCAATTTTACTCAAAAACTCTGAGTTTTTAAATGATACGCCGCAATCTATAGACTTGGCGATTCCTTTGAAGCGCGTTTAATTCATAAAAGTTTTAGTATTTGACGTCACAGACAAATGAAAATTAAAATTTTTTTTTTATTATTTGTTTATTTATTTATTTTCGTCTTCTAACATTTAAAAAGATATTAAAAACCGTAAATATTTTATGCTGGTTCTTTGCTGTAAATTGTAATTGCGCTATATTTAATGTTAATAAATGATAAATATTTATTATTTCAATCAAGATTCTGATAAAAAATTGCTTTATATTAATTACTGAATAAAATCAGTAATAGCATTTTTAATTGGTTATTTTGCCTTAATTTGCTTTGCATGAAGTTCAGAAAGCCAAAAAAAAAAAACTTAGTTTGAATAATCTTATCAAAATATATTTAAAACAAATGATTTTAATGACGAGGGTACTAAAGTCTTTTTATAACAAATGTAGGTAAAAAATAAATAACCAAATAAAAAGTTCAACATAAAACATATTTTTATTATTATATTGCAACTGTAAGTATTGAAATATTAACTTGAACTAAGTTTACTTATTTAAAATATCAAGCAATAAATAAAAAGCCCCTAAAATTATGAAATATTATGTTGTTTATTTGATTATTGTTGTTGTTTATGTTGATTACTTTTATCTATATCAAAATAGTCCCACATTGAACTGTTAGTTGCTCCGCTCATTGTTAATTTATTTCTAATTTAATTTTATCTTAAAGTTCTAAAATTCTATGTTAAGAAAGAAAAGTTTTTATTTCATCACGCATTCTTTTTATAAAAGAGAACAAAAGAGAAAGAAAAGTTTTACATAATTAAACTTTGAATGAATAAGAGTTGTATAGAATACTTTTTTTTGCATCACTTGTTATTTTTTTACATAAAAAATAAAAGTTTAATTGCAACTTTTCTTTGAATAAATGGGATATGGAAGAAAAATTTGCTTGAAAACTCGTATTTGTCAATGTTGTTAGTTTTTAATTTTCCATGTTAAGAGACAAATGCCAAATGTGACACATAATTTGGGAAATACCAAATATAATATGTTTTTTAACGCGCATTACAACATTTTGACAATTTAAATTACCATCTATCTTGAATTATTGCCATTAATTAATGTGTTAATTATTGCGTTAATTAATAATAATTTGTCCGTATTTTTGTTAAATATTAGTTGTATAAAACGGGCGAAAATATACGTACTTCATGTTTTTAATTTGATGGTTATAAAATATTGAACAGTAACTTATAATAAAAATGTATACTACCAACTTGTGCTGTTATTGGTTGTACTTGTAATGCAAAACCAGGATCTCACATATCCTTTCATGAATTTTCATATCTGATACTGTCAACTGTATTATTTAGCATATTCTTGTACTTTTTTCATAACCTTAACAGGTTCTAATTGGTATGGAGTTGCTGATATTTTAAAAGTTTCTTTATTAAAAATCAAATACAAAATTAAATGATATTTCTTTTTTATCCATATCCAATTTAGCAAATTCAGCCATTTAAATTAAATCAGCGCAATCAAAAAATTTTTATAATAAAAAAATTTAACAGTTTATCAAATATCTCTAATTAATACTGTCAGTTAATGAAAGTAATTTTTAATACTTTTTTCAACAGGAAAACAAAAAATGCCATAGCGTAAAAATGACCAAAGAAATTAGAATATAGTTCCCATTGTTTAAATGAAAATAAGTAAGATTCAGATGATATAAAACTACGCTCTCTTGCACAAAAACGAGAGACCATATATATAACTTTCTATATAATGTAAAATACTCGTATGAAAATCATAAAATTCGTAAATAAAGCTTTAATATTTGTTTTCATTTAAAAACAAAAGAAATATAAGTAAGATATGTAAATCTAAAAATTATTAAGATATCTGTAAAAAATAAGTTACTCCTATAAAATAAAAATAATTTATCATTTTTACTTTTTACAAAAATTTTTTTTCAATGTTTGGAAAAATAATACAAATAAATTCATTTTGCTGTATGTTAAAAAAATACCACAACGATATTATTGAATTAAAGTAGAAAAACGCAGCTTAGTTTAATTATATTTTTTATTTGCCAAAAGTCTACTGAGACGTCAAATACTAAAACTTTTATGAATTAAATGCGCTTCAAAGGAATCGCCAAATTACGACATAATTTAAATACTGAGTTTTTAAGTAAAATGGAGAAGGTGAGCTTTGGCTAAAACAACAACATTAGTTTTTCTCGGTATGCATTCAATATTTATTTTTAATCAAAAAAACTTGGTTCATTATCTTTATTATGAACATTATCTTTATTATGAACACAATATGTGTTGGGAGGTTGGGATCCCTTTAAGTTAAATATATAGGTATGTTAAAAAACACCAAAAGTCATACTTTGTATCTAGCAAAAAGGACAAAAGGCATACTTTGGAGTTAAAAGGTTAAATAATTTTTGTATATAATTTCTTCAGTGGCAATATTTATTAGTAAGAATTTTTTTTTTTTTAATAATAATAATTTAATAAACAAATAAGAAATAAATGATCACTTAAGTTTGTTCAATTATATAACGTTCAATTATATAACCATTTCTTGTATGGGTCTGATCAATTTAAATCATGAATCGACGAAGTAAAAAAATGTTTTCATAAACTCTGTTCTATTTATAAATCATCAATAAACCTGTTACATGTTCACCAATTTCATTAGATATTTAAATACATCAGACTTAGGTTGTCTACATTACAACTGTTGTTAATAAAATAATATGAAACAATTAATATGTTTTTTAATGCCTTCTAGAAAGATACAATTTAAATTTAAAATTCTCATTAAGATAATGATTTTAAAACTATTTAAAAAAACAAACTTTATTCTGATACTATTTAATATTGTTTTCCACTTGTGTGATTTTTTCCACTATTTCAATTTCTCATCTAATTATGGAAAAGTTAAAAACTTTTTGTAACCAGATGCTGTTACTGGCATCGCTTTTGTAACCAGATGTTACTGGCATCGCTTTTGTAACCAGATGCTGTTACTGGCATCGCTTTTGTAACCAGATGCTGTTACTGGCATAAAACTGTTTTGTAGATAAAAGCTGAGTACTTTTATTATAATACTATCACTAGGAAGACTACCACCCCAAAATTACTACTAGGAAGACTACCACCCCAAAATTACCACTAGGAAGACTACCACCCCAAAACTACTACTAGGAAGACTACCACCCCAAAACTACTACTAGGAAGACTACCACCCCAAAACTACTACTAGGAAGACTACCACCCCAAAACTACTACTAGGAAGACTACCACCCCAAAACTACTACTAGGAAGACTACCACCCCAAAACTACTACTAGGAAGACTACCACCCCAAAACTACTACTAGGAAGACTACCACCCCAAAACTACTACTAGGAAGACTACCACCCCAAAACTACCACTAGGAAGACTACTACCCCAAAAAATGTTTTGATACAGAAAACAGTCACCTGATGATTCGATGAACAAACTTGCTTGTTTATCAATTACATTTTTATATCCTCCAGCCTAGTTTTTTGCTATATAATTAATATCACAAAATAACATGTTTAAAACATTTTTTTGAATCAACCATAAATAGATTCAACAAGTACACATTTTTCAAAATATAATTAACTAACACCATTAATAGATTCAATAAGAGATAAATTTTCATAATCAGTGATTTTGATTTTTCGATAGATATATCTAAATAGTATTTTCTCAGTGTCAATTGCAACCATACATAAACCATGTCTCGATTACAACCATATATACATAATGCTTCAATCGCAACCATACATAAACCATGTCTCTATTGCAACTATACATACATCATGTCTCTATTGCAACTATACATACATCATGTCTCAATCGCAACCATACATATACCATGTCTCAATTGCAACCATACATACACCATGTCTCAACTGCAACCATACATACATCATGTCTCAATTGTAACCATACATAAATCATGTCTCAAATTAAAATTGTATTTGTTTTGAAATTGATAATTACTATCAATAATCTTTGTTATGTTTGAAATAAGTCATTGTATAGAACTTCAGACATGACAAGATTTATTTCATATTAATATTAAAAAGATTACATTTAAATTAATATTAAAAAGTCAAATATTATCAATTAATTTTTTTATGTTTAAAAAGTATTTTTGTAACTTTGGTAAAAAATCAAATAAAGTAAAAATTTACATTTTATCAGATTTTGTTATTTTACACTGTTTAATTAATTTACTTAATGTCGATTTGATTTTGAGACTTAATGATTTTACTTAAAAGCATCGCATTTGTAATATTATTTATTATTATTAATTAATATAAAACCTGCAAACGTCACTTACTTGAACTGGGGTTCTGAAGGATCAATAGAATACAAATGTGACGTATACAATGCGTTAAAACGAGGATCTTTCACATCTACTTCAAATGTATCATCCAGCTGTTTCTCAGCGTTGCGCTTCTTTTTTTTTTTCTTACTAAGTTTTTCCTGGTCAAGTATAGTCTTCAAAGAGAAGTGCTTCTTCTCCTCAGGTTCTTCATCCATAAGAAGGAGTTCAAGTTCAGCCTAAAATTTACATTTTATATTTATTCAATTTTTTAAAATTAAATATTAAAATAGTATTCAAAAAATAAATTCAGAAAGAAGTTATTATAATTTTTTTTTTTAATATATTTATTTTTAAAACTTGCTTACATTAAAGTAAATTAAATGAAGTTTAGCAGTTAGGAAAACTCACCTTGTTTTTGAGGTCCTCCTCTGTCATATTTTCGTTAACTTTAGATTTTTTTTTTAATTTTGTCTTCTTTTTATTTTTAAAAAAAGGGTCATTAAAGCCAAGACTTTTATTATCATCAGATAATTTGTCATCACTTATATTATTTGGTTCATTATTATTGTTCGTAATTTTTTTAATTTTATTGGTTTCCTTTGATATGCTGGCATGGTTTTCTTCTTCTATTTCTTGATTCCAAGACACTTCTATATTACCTTCATCTTCTTCTACTTCTTCTTTAGACTCAATTTCTTTCATCAAAAGCTAAAAAAGATTTTCTTTAATTTTCACAAATGTAATTCAAAATTATTTAAAAAAGTCAAAATTAAGATAAAAAATAAAAAAACATATGAGCCCATCTGCAAAAAGCGCTAAGTCACAAAAAATTTTTATTTGAGTTAATCCCATTTCTATATTCTTTATACAGAAATCTATCATCTATTTAAGTATTAGTTCTATTAAAAGGCTCTTAGTCAAACTGGGTTTAAGCTTCAAAACATGCTAAGTCAGAAGCCAATTATATGAGCAATAAGTGACATTATGTTTTTTAACAACCAATGAAAAGTTTATTTATACTTATTATTAGCGCACTTTTTCTTGGCGCATCAAATTATTTAAAATTTAACACCTAATACAAAATGGCTGAAATTAAAGAAAGTTTTATAGCTGTTGGAGAAAGATCCAGGTTCGTAACAAGCTCTGGACATATTTCCCCGTCACGGTAGGGAAGGAGGCGCGAACTTCCTGGTTAAATGCACTTCCGCTGTGCTCTGTGAAAAGACCATTAAGTCTTCTTGGGGTACCTAAATAGCATTTTAAAAAATCTATTTCAGTCCAAGTCAATAATTTTATCTGGTTAATTTCATGACCATATAAATGCTTTTTTTCCTATGCGCATACTTTATTTGTATCACTACACTGAAGTAACTTTTACCAACTAATCACTTTTCCTTCAATATCTCAAAATCAATTTGCTTGGACTTAGCGTGTTTTGCAAATAGGCTCCTCATATAAACAAATAGGAGACCAACTCTATATTTTTTTATTCTATCATCATCCTCTTCACTTCCTGAATAATCGTTACTTATTTCAGTTTTATTAAATTTTTTAACTTGATCTTCTTCATCTGAAGATGATGCTATAAATAAAAATGATAAATAAAAATAAAAATTTATTAAACCTAAAAAAAATTTTTAAAGTTTGAAATTCTTGAAAGAAAAACTTAATTTTAAAAACAACTCAAATCAATAAGACATATAAATTTTTGAAACTTTGGTTTCACTTTTTATTTTTTTAAACTGTTAATGGAGAACATTAGACTTTTTAAAATATATATATATATATATATATATATATATATATATATATATATATATATATATATATATATATATATATATACATATATATAAAATGTTTATATATTTAAAAATAATATTTTTAACAGTTGGACTGAATAGACAAACATAGAAAAAAAAATTAAATATTTATTTATTAATATAAAATTTATATATATATATATATATATATATATATATATATATATATATATATATATATATATATATACACAAATAGTATTGCGTAGTTTGGTAAGCAATCTGACGTCATACTGAAATAGCCGGCTGCTGGGGGCTTCAGTACATACAACGACTGACAAATAGCCTGACTCGCAGTAGAGTGCTGCTACATCGACTGAGGGTTTGGGGTGGGGAAGCAATCATTTTATTTATCATTCTTCGTTTTTTTCTTCTTCTTTTTCGAAAAAAACGGTTTACCTTAAAGTAATCACAAAAAGTGAGCAAATGCTTATCAAAACACGCTTTAGTAAGTGTGTGTGTATATATATATATATATATATATATATATATATATATATATATATATATATATATATATATATATATATATATATATATATGTATTATATATTGTTGCAAGTTTTTTTGTACCAAATAGAGATACAAAGCCTCTTGTACGTTTTTTTAGAGTGATCAATATAATGTAAATTAATTATTTACAAAATAGATCATCAATTATATATAAAAGTTTAACTAAATGAAAAAAAAAAAAACTTTATGATGGAACTTGAAGTTTCATGCCATTTCGGCAATCATCAGCCATATATATACCTTAATATATATATATATATATATATCAGATATATATATATGGCTGATGATTGCCGAAATGGCATGAAACTTTAAATTCCATCATAAAGTTGTATTTTTTCATTTAGTTAAACTTTTATATATATATATATATACATTTGATTTGAAAAAATGATTCGAGTTTTTCAAATCACTATTTATTTTGCCAGTGTTATTGTTTTTTCAGATATTCAATGCTAAGATGCTATGAAAATGTTTTTATTTATCTCAGCCCAAGTAAAGTAATTGTAATTGAAAGTAATTGTAATACTGCTTCTAAACAACCGCTATAAAATTAATTGGGCAAAAAATTTTTAAGTAGAGCATTTTTTAAAAAAAAACATGCTTAAATTTGGATTTCCTCATATTGCTGATTCGACTCGTGATTCGATTTGATTGGTAAATCAAGATCCGCTTTGATTTAAGATTTGATTTGAAACTAAAAATGTTAATTCACAGGGTCAATATATATATATATATATATATATATATATATATATATATATATATATATATATATATATATATATATATATATATATATATATATATATATATATATATATATATATATATATATATATATATATATATATATATATATATATATATATATATACATATATATATATATATATATATATATATATATATATATATATATATATATATATATATATATATATATATATATATATATATATATCTTAAGTAAGCTGGAATGTTTACCAAATGTGCTCTATATTATTTCAATTTAAAACCACAAAAGTTATAAAATTGAACAGTTAACTAACTTTTAATTATTTTTTTGAAAAAGCTTCTGAGGCATTGAATCTACCAATTTAATGAGAACATCCTAAGGAATATTATACCAACATTCTTTATTCAATGCAAATAAATGGTCTTTGTTGGTTGTTTTTCTACCAACTAATTGCTGCCTGATGTACTTCCAAAGATGCTCAATAGGATTGAGATCTGGGCTCTGTGAAGGCCATTCAAGAACTTTGATTTTTTAAGATTTAAAATACTCCTTAACAGATCTGGCACAGTGTTTTGGATCATTATCTTGTTGTAAGATTCATTTGCAAGTCATTTTATGCTTTGCATGTGGCAGCATAACATTTTTATGGTCTAATAAACTCTTTGGTCCATAATACGTTCTATGTGATGTGATCCATATTGTCATGACTAAAAATCCCCAAACCATAACATTTCCTCCTCTATGTTTAACAGTGGGTAACTGATATTTTGGACTATATCTGTCTTCTACTGGGCGCCTAACATACCTAATTCCATCACTACTGAATAGCATAAACTTTGATTTATCAGAAAAAAAGGACTTTTTGACCAGTCATTAACTGACCAACTAATTGCAAATCTTTGGCAAATTTTATTATAGTTTTTAAATTTCTTGCAGATTTTTTAACTGGACGATAGCCATACGGATTATTTTATTGTAATCGACATTAAGTTGTATCGAAGCTACAGTTTGTGCCATGAAACTGATGCATAAATGAATTAAGTTCGGCAGCAGTCTGGCGAGGATTATATAGGTATACCTTACTAATAATCTACCAGATTTTTCAGTTGTAACTTTAGGTCTTTCAGAGTAAGATTTCCTTTCAATAGTTTTGCGCAGACAAAATCTTTACATGTGACTTATTCCTGGTTTAGAAACATTGTAAAGTTCAGAAATCTGCCTGTAAGTCATTTTATTTCCCACAGCTTTTATAGTTAATTCCTTTATTTCCTTTGAAACTTTGTTAGCTTTCCCCATGCTTTTACAAATATTTTGGCAATTTGTTATACTTCACTGTCTTTGAAATATCTCAAAGTAATTAAATTATAAAATTTCACAAATATTATGGCCTTTAATTTTGCTTTTGTTTACAAAAAAAAGGTTTAATTATGGGGTATGATAAAAAGTTGATATTTTGTGAATTTCAGCAAAAGTTTCAGCTTTTTTGAAATAAATATTAATCAAATTCAATTATTTCTAAACTTTTGCACGGAAGCTTTTTCATCGAACCGTTAATTAACTTTTTTTTAAAGTTAATTAATGGTTCAATTTTACAACTTTTGTGGTTTGTATTTTAGTTTATATAATATAGAGCACAATTAGTAAAAGTTCCAGCTTATTTAAGAAAGTTTGCAAAAATAATTAACTAAAAGTAATCTGCAAACATACATCTATATACGCTATAGTAGATATATATTAGGGATGCACCGAATGTTCTGCAAAACCAAACGTTCTGCTGTTTTGCCGAACGTTCGGTTTCAGCCGAACCTTGACAAATGTTCGGCTGAACATTTGCTAAAAATGCTAATTTGGAAATGTACATCATCAAATCATCATAATTCAGCCTAAATAACTACAGTACCAATAGATATGGCTTTTTATTGAAAACCCAATTCTTATCAACTACGCATAGTAGGTATGAATATGTTGTTCAATAGAACACATGAGTACGTTAGATTTACATCAAGTTTTTCGAATTTATAAGTGTAAAATAAAAAATCCTTTCAATTGAGCAATATTTTAGTTAATTTTATCCTTTTATATACAATAATAATAATAATTAAACTTAACTTAGTAGATATTAAACTTAAGATATAAAACTCATGCAAAAAGCAAACTTTTTATTTTGGAAAAATCACAAAAATGTAATAGTATAAAATAAACTTAAAATAACAGATAGAAACATCCGTTTTAAGTGGCGCCTATTGCTGCTGTGTTAAAAAAAAAATCTTTACAAAGAAAGTTGCTCATAATTTGGCTACTCAACTAGTTGAACTGAGAAAATTATTTGAAAAGAATAAACTTAGGGAAAAATGTTATTGTTGTGATCTAAAACATTAAAATGCTCCGATTTATTATGTAGTACAAGTACCGATGTATTATGTAATAATGTAATAGTACCGATGTATTATGTAGTACTATATAACTATATAACATATAGTATTATGTTATTATTATATAACTAAACATGCAATAGTATTAATACTAGACAAATCAACAATTTTAAACTTTCACCTAACAAAATAATCGATTATTGAAAAAATAAAACATTAAAAACATGAGTGAAAATTAATTATCATTTGTTGTCCTCAAGTTATAATGAATAAACATTAATTTTTTGCCACTTTCTGGTGATAGTCTGTTTCTATTGGCTTTGTAAATGTTGCCACCTGTACTAAAAAGTCTTTCACTTTCAACAGAAGATGGTGGTGCTGAAAGAAACTTTTGGGTAATTTTCTTTAAATTTCCAAATCCACCACAAGAGAGGACTTTCTTATTTCCGTAAAAAGAGGCCGCTTTAAATACTCTTCAATCTCCTTGTTTATCATTTGTATACTAGAATTTGATCTTTTTAACCTTTTGCTATTTTCAGTATTTACAAAATTGGAATCACATTCATCTATAGTTGTCAGTTTAGAAACTTTCTGAAAACATTCATTGCATTTTGGATAAGCTGGTTTTGCAATTACTTCATTTGTGTTATTTACTGAAGGTTTGTCAAATTCAGAATCAGAGGATTCAAGTTCTAAATTACTTTGTTGCATTTTTTGCATCTGTTCATTTATCCAATTTTTTATTTTATATTTGTCTTCCTTTTGATATGTCAATTTATATCTAGGGTCACAAAAAGTGGAAATACATAAATATTTATCATGTGAATATGGGCCGAATCTTTTGTGTACTGACCCACTTAATTGTTCAAATAAAGTATTTATTGTTAAAAAAGCCTCACATACTAATGCTTGATTAAAAATTCTTTCAGAGCCATAATTGAAGGAATAACATTTGACAAATATGATTCATGTTTACTGAAATTAATGGTTAAAGTTTTAAATGGTTCTAAAGTATTCAACACTTTAACAAGCCTTATTGAAATGAATTTAGTGTTGATTGGGTATGATGATATGCTGTATAAGTTGTCAAAGGAACTCTTTGATCAAGCATCCTTTCAATCATATCATAAGAACT